CCCTCCAAAGTAAAGGAATCCTAGGGTGTCACCAGAACTAGTGTCCCCATTGGACGATTTCCCATCTATTCCTGTGCTGAGGTCAGTTCAAAATGTAAGATTTTCTTTTACTTTAATTTAGGATAAATAGGATGAATAGAGATAATATAACAGGACAAATAGGGAGAATCTCACTAATGGGGACACAGAGCAATAAAAACCTGACAGGGGTTCTAATCCCTCTTCACTCTATCTAAAACTTAAAAAAAAGGTTTACATTTTTTGTGGCACTTTAAAGATGTTATATTTTGCAAAAATAATATCTGTTTAGCGTCCCTGTGCTGGCTGGTCACACGACTCACACCACTGGCCTGTCCAAAGGGGATCATAGGGTACTGATGTTTAAGAAAAGGTGACCACTCAGGAACTCTTTCTGAACTCTCCTGATATTCGTCCCCTAGAATCCTTTGTTTCCGAAGACACCACATAACAGGTGCTTCATCATTACTTTTATAGAAAAGCCTGAGCAAATGAATCCTGAAACTCCTGCGCTGGACGATGAGCTCCACAATGTCAGTAACCCCACATCGAGTACTTTTTGGGAAGGCAAGCCTTGCTGCCCTCAATGGACCAGGGAAATCCAAAGGAGCTGTGTGCAAAGAAACAAACAGGGTGCACGGGCCTAGTGCATTACCTTCTAAAAATGAGATTTATTGAATAAAAAGTACCGTATTTGCCGGCGTATAAGACGACTGGGCGTATAAGACGACCCCCCTACTTTTCCTGCTAAAATGTAGTGTTTGGGCTATACTCGCCGTATAAGACTACCCCTCTTCCAATGCACACCAGTGGGAGGAATAGTGCCCCATCATTGGTGTCAGTGGGAGGAATAGTGCCCCATCATTGGTATCAGTGGAAGGAATAGTGCCCCATCATTGGTATCAGTGGGAGGAATAGTGCCCCCATCATTGGTATCAGTGGGAGGAATAGTGCCCCATCATTGGTATCAGTGGGAGGAATAGTGCCCCATCATTGGTATCAGTGGGGAGGAAAGTGCCCCATCATTGGTATCAGTGGAGGAATAGTGCCCCATCATTGGTATCAGTGGGAGGAATAGTGCCCCATCATTGGTATCAGTGGAAGGAATAAATCATTGGTATTAGTGGCAGGAATAGTGCCCCATCATTGGCATTAGTGGCAGGAATAGTGCCCTATCATTAGTATCAGTGGAGGAATAGTGCTCCATCATTGGTGTCAGTGGGAGGAATAGTGCCCCATCATTGGTATCAGTGGCAGGAATAGTGCCCCATCATTGGTATGAGTGGCAGGAATAGTGCCCTATCATTAGTATCAGTGGAGGAATAGTGCTCCATCATTGGTGTCAGTGGGAGGAATAGTGCCCCATCATTGGCATTAGTGGCAGGAATAGTGCCCTATCATTAGTATCAGTGGAGGAATAGTGCCCCATCATTGGTATGAGTGGCAGGAATAGTGCCCCATCATTGGTATCAGTGGCAGGAATAGTGCCCCATCATTGTATCAGTGGCAGGAATAGTGCCCCATCATTGGTGATCAGTGGAGGAATAGTGCCCCATCATTGGTATCAGTGGGGGGAATAGGTGCCCCATCATTGGTATCAGTGGCAGGAATGGTGCCCCATCATTGGTATCAGTGGCAGGAATAGTGCCCCATCATTGGTGTCAGTGGGAGGAATAGTGCCCCATCATTGATGTCAGTGGGAGGAATGGTGTCCCATCATTGGTGTCAGTGAGGGGTGGAATAGTGCCCCATCATTGGTGTCAGTGGGGGGTGGAATAGTGCCCCATCGTTGGTGTCAGTGGGGGGGAGGAATAGTGCCCCATCGTTGGTGTCAGTGGGAGGAATAGTGCCCCATCATTGGTATCAGTGGGAGGAATAGTGCCCCATCATTGGTATCAGTGACACCAATGATGGGGCACTATTCCTCCCACTGAGACTTGCTGACCCTGTTCTCGTATGGTGCTGCTGCAGCCAGCATATGTGGTTGCAGCAGCACCTCTACACAGCACACTTACCTGCTGCTTCCGGCACTCAATTTTCGCGGGGGCCCCGCTCGGCTCCGCCCCCTCGCCGGTGATTGGCCGCCTGTGTGCCTTTCCTGAGCTACAGTTCTGGCGGCCAATCACCGGTGAGGAGGCGGAGCCGAGCAGCCGCACGAACATCCAGTGGCCGAACTGAAGGAGACGCCGCGCTTCCTGGACCGGATCGTCGTGGGACTGGATCCAGGTAAGAGACATCAGCCCCTGCAAACCCCTGTACTTAATGCCGCAGCCCCCCTAACGTGTACCGGCGTATAAGACACCCCCGACTTTTGAGAAGATTTTCAAGGGTCAAAAAGTCGTCTTATACGCCGGCAAATACGGTAGTATACTCACAAAGGAATAGAATCAAAGGCACATCACAAAAAAGACGGCAAGGTCCAATCTCCCTGGATGGTGGCTGTTGGGGGACTGTAGGCCTGAAAATGTGCGACACGTTTCGAGGTAGAACCTCTTCCTTAGAGCCACTGAGGAAAAGGTTCTGCCCCGATCAGAAATTTGGAGGCCTACAGTCCCCCAACAGCCACCATCTAGGGAGATTGGACCATGCTGTCTTTTTTGTGATGTGCCTTTGATTCTATTCCTTTGTAAGTATACTACTTTTACTCAAATGTCAAGGATCCAGGTATGACCAGAGATGTGTGGACTGACACAGGTAAGTAGCAGGCTTCAGGAACACAGGCGTAGTCAGGGCTGGAGAGGTGGAAAGGTCAGGCCGGCTGTAATGTACTGTCAGGCACCGCCCGCGGTATCTCTAGTGACCCAGAGAACAGGATTCCTCAGGGCGCGGAGTCTAAGCCCCAGTCTGCCTTTTCACCAGAGCCCCTGATGGTGGGGATGGACTTGGCGCAGGACTGAGACCAGTTCGCGGCCCCTGAGTGCACCCAACTGTGGTAGAGGGCTCCGCCGAGGGTATGTACCGGGGGAAAGCCTGATGTGAAGGCGCTGACAGGTTTGGACAGTAGTGACTGGATCCGTGCGGGATGGATGGTCTGGGTAGCGTCAGGCAGGCCAGGTCAGCAACGTGCGGGCAGTGAGGTACCGGAGGAGCAGGCAGAGAATAGTCGGTCACAAGCCGGGTTCAGTAACTCACGGGCAGCGCGGTACAGTGGATCAGGCAGAGAATGGTCAGGGTCACAAGCCAGGTTCAGTAACTCACGGGCAGCACGGTACAGAGGATCAGGCAGAAGGATGGTCAGGCAAGCCAGGGGTTAAACAGGAGACGGTCAGCAGGGTCAGGAACAATGCAGAGTCGGCAACAAATCAGACAGAGGAACAGGAACACAGGATACAAGGTACAGGGGCTCATGGGAAACAACACCAAGGCACCACTGACTGCAGGTCTGGCCATTCCTTAAATACACCTCCTGCAATCAGCCTCAGGTGATGGCTGCCTGCAGGAGTGAGCTTCTGATTGCTGAGAGCACCCGCTGGCCAGCCCTGGTACTGCAGCCCACATGGCAGGTGAGTCCCACCACCAGTGCTGAGTCCATTCCTGACATCAAATCTCATTTTTAGAAGGTAATGCACTAGGCCTGTGCACCCTCTGTTTGTTTTCTTTGCACACAGCATCATTACTTTTATGACTGCCTTTTGAACTCCTGCTGTTTCATAATTTCTAATTAATGCATTTATAATAAGCATGCTAAGTAATCGTGTGTGTGTGTGTGTGTGTGTGTGTGTGTGTGTGTGTGTTGTTTTCATTTGTGGTTTTTTTTTTTTTTTTGTTTTAGCAATATTTTTTTCTGTTTTGCACCACTCTGTGAATTAAGATGACCGTGTACACTGTCCAGTGCTCCAGGGAATCAATGCCGAAGGAAGGGCAGGGGAACCAGAACAAAAAAGCCTATGGATAGCGTTTCAGAGCTGCAGCCCTCCTCACATGGAAAATCAACAACTGGAAAAAAAAAAAAGCATACAGGTGGCACAAACACCTAGTGCATTATCCAAGACTTATTTAAAATGAAAAAAAAGGACAAAAACATACAAACAGCATGTATGTAAAGCTTGTAAGACCATGGATAAACTTATCTGATAAGCTCTGAGGAAAGGGATTCGTCCGAAACGCGTCAGTGGCCGACCGCACTGTCAGTCGGACACTCTTCCATTTGTGTGGCCGTCTCCACAGTTTTACAAGCTTTACATACATGCTATGTTTGTGAGTATGTTTTTGTCCTTTTTTTTTTTCATTTTAAATAAACCTTGGATAATGCAATAGGTGTTTGCGCCACCTGTATGCTTTGAATTAGCCTGGGATCTTTTGCACCCCAAATTCCTCTAGTAAGGAACAGGGTTAGTCTTGTGTTTAATGTAAAATAAAGCAGAAGTAAACCCAAAATGGCATGCCAGGAATGATTACAGTCACCACTGCGTGTGTTGTCAACCAAACTGTCAAGCTATCAAATGGCTGGTGTCATGTCAGATCACATGTGCAGCACTATGGCGACTGCAGAGCAAACAGAGGCCAAAAGGGCATCTTTCTTGGCTGTAAAGGTTAGAATGGTTTAATTCAGTTTTGAAGGAGAAGTTCACCTTTTAAACCTCTTACACTTGAATGTTTAAAATCATTTTGTCTGTGCGGAGCTCCACCCTCACAGCTGCATCATTCATTCACAGGAAACTGTGAATGAAGAAACTGCAAGCCCTGTCTACCACCACAGAAGATGGCTTGTAGTTCTCAATGGACTGTGAGGCACTGATGATGTAGTTCAATGACACTTCCTCCAGCTTTTAAACAGCCCATACACAGGTACAGGCAAAAAAGCTGGAGGACATATCTGCTGCAGCCTGACACGACACTGCACCTGCAATCCACTGATTGCGGGTGCAATGCTCTGCAGGTTCCTGTGAAAAATAAAAAATTAATAAATGCACATATGTGCCTTTTTTATTATTATAATAAACCGATTTATTGTGTAATATGTAAACTGTTTGTTCCCGCAGACACTGGCCTGTACAATTATGGAGATGTCCCGGATGACTATGGGGAGCTGTTTCCGTCGGGGTTTAATGCCTACCCTCTGCACTTGGTATGTAGCAGCTCTAACATGTTCTGAAGGCAATTTCTTGTTTTTCTTGTCTATATCTTGTCTTCTGTATCCACAGTATGACAGCCAGATGGATGTTGAGTCATGTTCCGTATCCTCCTCTCTGGACGAGATCCATGGCGTGAACTTGTCAGGTGAGATTAGTTATTTGATACCATTTAGATTCCACTAAGGTAGGGGAAATCAGAGTGAGGCAAGGTCATGTTTTAATAAAGGACAGTATGCATGACACTAACATTATGTGAAAGTAGATGAAAGTAATTTCCCGTACATGTAAAATCCCAATATCTGTAGAGCGATTCACAAATTTGATATTTTATGTAACTTTGTTGTGCAGATATCACTCCCTATTGTATTGCTTTTGTTTAGGCCTCTGTTCACATATAGGCATTTTACATCGTGGGCGGAATTGCCGTGATTCTGCCTGCAATTTCAAAACGCACTGTTAAAATGTGAACTTTAGATGTCAACGGCAACTAAAAATGTGGGAACAAAATCACATGTTGCCCAAAAGAAGTTCCAAAAAATTCTTTTGGGTGACGCACATCCCACGATTTTGTTTGCGTGATTACAACACTAAAAATCGCGGCAAAATCGTTCTGCATTTTTAGGTGCCATTTGAAATGAATGGCACCTAAACATGCTGCTGCGCGATTTTACATTTTAAAAGCGCATTTTGATATTGCAGGCAGAATCAGAGCGATTCTGCTCATGATTTAAAATGCCTTATAGCCAAACTCTAGGCTATTTTATAAAATTGTTTAAGTAAGTTACAGTAAATAAACACTCTCACTGCAATACTCACTTTTTTTGTTATCCTTCTGCATTACCTCTTCTCTGCCACAAGATATCATGTAGTCTTCTGGGTTGGAGAATGCCCCCCCCCCCCCCCCCCCCGTTTATGTCTTATTTACCTGAGAGGTATCCTTTACACTTTCTGCGATCCATTGTGAGCAACGGCAGTGCGACTGGAATGTGGTGCAGGAGACCAGCACAGATCGCTGGTCCCCCGAAACCTTGTTCTAGTGTGAACAGGCCCTTAACTCCACCCCTAGGCTGCTTACTGAAGCAGGTGTAAGTTTAGTTCACCTAGTGAAACAGGTGTAAGGTTCAGGCATGCAAGAAAAACACCATTTAATCCAGTAACAAATTCATTAAAAAAATAATTAAATGAGGTTTATTTACAATTTGTAAAAATCCTAGAATCTTTTCATTGGTTTCCTGTCTCTATCCTACCTTTTCAACTTTATTATACAGTGTTCAGCATAATTGAGTACACCCCTTATGGAAAGTAAGATTTTAATCAATTTCTTAATGAACACAAGAACAATTTCCAAACTTTTGACAAAACTTGAGTTTTATAGAACATTTGTTTAGCTCATTACATGAAATAAGGTTAATAATATAACTTAGATTACAAAATCTTCAGTTTTACTCAAATTAGTTGATGCAAAAATGAATCCACCCCACAACAAAGACAACCACATCTAGTATTTTGTATGACCTCCATGAGTTGTAAGGACAGCACCAAGTCTTCTAGGCATGGAATGAACAAGTTGGCAACATATTGCAACATCAATCTTTTTTCATTCTTCAAGAGCGACCTCTTTTATGCTGGATGGAGAGTGATGCTAAACTTGTCTCTTCAGAATTCTTCATAGGTGTTTGATTGGGTTCAGATCAGGAGACATACTTGGCCACTGAATCGCCTTCACCCTGTTCTTCAGAAATGCAACAGTGGCCTTAGATGTGTGTTTTGGATCCAGGGGCGGACTGACCATTTTGAAACTCAGGCACTGTCCGACGGCCCGGGGTCAGTAGGAGGCCCCATGAGATGCCCCTGGTACCTTTTTCATAGGCTTTTTTGAGTTTGGGCAAGGGCACAGGGGCCCCATGATCCCCTATTGCCCGGGGGCCCCATGAGTTGTCAGTCCACCCCTGTTTGGATCATTGTCATGTTGGAAAATTGCATGACGACCAAGGTGCCGGAGTTTAGTAGCTTCTTCTTTTCCAGTATAGAGCAGTACATCTGTGAATTCCTGATGCCATCAATGAAATGCAGCTCCCTGACACCAGCAGCTCTCATGCAGCCCCACAGAAAGACACTGCCACCTCCATGTTTCACTGTAGGCATCATGCATTTTTCTTTGTACTCTTCACTTTTGCAAATTCCAGGTTGGCTTTTATGTGCATGGGCTTTAGGAGTGGCTTTCTTCCTGGATGACAACCATGCACGCCATTCCTCTGCAGTGTATGCCATATTGTGTCACAGGAAATATTCACCCTAGTTTGGCTTTCTACTTCTTTAGTTAACTGGAGTGAACTTGCATGGCGATTTTCTTCAACCCTTCTCATCAGAAGGTGCTCCTGTCGAGGTGTTAACTTCCATAGACAGCCTGGACATCTCTGTGAAGTGGTTGCAGTTCCATCTTTGTTAAATTTTTATATCACTTTTGCTACAGTATTCTGAGAAGTAAAGCTTTGCTGATCTTCCTGTAGCCTTCACCTTTCTTGTGTAATGAAATGATTTTCTTTCTCAAGGCTTGTAACATTTCTCTTTCACTTGGTGCCATTGCGGACAGCATGAAATGGGAAGGGGTTTTCTTTGTTATATAACACCCTTTTATAATGAACTGTCTGCTGGACACCTATTATTTTTTGAATAATTAGACTCACCTGTAGTTAAATTCTTGTTAGGATTTTGTTCTCTAAAATTTAGCATTGCTCCTAACTAAGACTTTCATTGGGGTCTATTCATTTTTGTAACATGGTCTTGAATAATTTTGTTAGGAAAAATACTTTTTTGTGTGTGCAAATTAACAAATCTTGCTTGCAATCAATGGTCCGCATTTGTGGGAGTATTTTGTAGTATAGTGTTCCATAGAAAATGTTGATTCCGAAAGGAAAGTAAAGATTTTCTGACAAACCTGTTGGGATGTACTCGTTTATGCTGAGCACTGTACTTGTGTCATGGGAGAGCAGAGGGATCAGAATGTTTCCAGCTGACATACAAATCCAAGATCACTATGACAGAATATTGACATATCATTATCTGATTTCTGTCTCTTTAGACCTCTTAGTAAAGGCAGAACCAGCTTCTCCCTTTTCTTCGTCATCGTGTGACTCCTCATCCTCCTGCGATGGTCTATACACAGTGAGTACAACCCAGGCCTGCTTCACGTCAACCCTGTGTATCTGAAACTGAAAAAAGGGGCAAAACAAATATGTTATCCTTGCAGAGGTCCTCTTCCTCCCTGCAAGGGTTAATTGCTTGTTTTGCATAGGCAGATGGTAAATAAGGTGATATATGGCAGTACATTGGCTAAATGGTTAGCACTTCCGCCTGGCAGTACTAGAGTCGTTGGTTCGAAATCCCAGCCACGGCACTTCCTGCCTGGAGTTTGCATGTTTTCCCTGTGCCTGCGTGAGTTTAATCCGGGTACTCTGGTTTCCTCCCACACTCCAAAGACACGCTGGTAGGTTAATTGGCTCCTGTCTACATTGGCCCAGGTATGTGTATGTATGAATGTAAGTTAGGGACCTTAGATTGTACGCCCCTTGAGGGTTAGGGACTGATGTGAATGTACAATATATATGTAAAGTGCTGCGTAAATTGACGGCGCTATATAGGTACCTGAAATAAATAAAAAAAAAATATATTTACCTTGTTTTGGGCACCCACAGACTTCCTGTGTTCTTTAAGACCAGTCTCCTGAAACCATTCATTTTCGCTTTCTGACCAGTCTCGCTCTCTGATATCATTCATTGCAATGCAGAACCTGTAGTCCTGCCTTGTGCATGAGGTTGCCGAAGGGCCTCCTACTACCTAGGATGTCAGACAGCAAAGGAGTGCGCTAGAAATAAGGTAAGTATATTCCTTTATATATCCTCCCATATGCAAAAGAAGCAGTTAACCCTTACAGTGCTGCTGGCCCATTGCCAAGGAATTTTTTTTTTTTTTTTTTTTTTAATTCTACAGCATTCCCTTGCTTTTCATGTACTCCTCCCCTAGTAACCTGGTCACCATTTTTGTTTTCCGCCTCCCTGCTGTGTAAGTTTAAGTTATACCATAAGTGTATAACAACTTATACAGGGCAAGGACCCTGTCTGTGTCCCATATGGCAGCACTCAGTCCTAGCAATTAGCTCCTCAGGCATTGAGCCCTGCATTGTTGGACTCTGAGAAGTGTCCTCTACCCTCCTTATTTGGAAGTACTGGGTTTGTCTCTGGTAGGAAAACAAGTATTGTGGATTGAGTAAAGGTATATATATGCCCTCTTTACTCACATTGCTCTCTTTTTTCCCTTAAAATAGAAGGGCGGCAATAAAACAGAACAAACCTACCTAATCGCCTAGATGGCTGCAGCATCGACCCAATGCTGCAGCTGTCCCCCGCCAGCTCTACACTGAGAACTAAGTGATCAGAGACTGCTGATCGCTAAATTACAAGTGATGTAGTGGTTGGAGGGAGAAGAAGCAGAAGGAAAGAAAGAGAAATCCAATACACCCAGAAGTGGCAATTTTTTTTTTTTTATTTTTTTTTTTTATTGCCTCAAACTATGCAATTAATTAAAGTGGTAGTAAAATCTTATTTATTTATACCTACAGGTAAGCTTATAAGGCTTACCTGTAGGTACAGTAAATATCTCCTAAATGTGCACCATTTAGGAGATCTTTACTTTGGTAGCAGCTGGTGACGTCACCGACACATGCGCACTGGGCTCTCAATGGACAGTATGCCGTCCATTGAAAGAGCTGCGTTGCAGCCATGACTTCCATGTGCATGTGTGGGAGTGACGTTACCATGGTTCGGCCATTCAAGTGGCCTGAGCCTGTAAACTGAAAAGGAAGACTGGGTGAAGATGGAAGACAATGTGCTATAGCGCAGTCGGCAAATGGTTAAAGAGTGAGTCCAGGTCCAATGAGGGTGAGATCTAAAGAGAGATCCAAAGAGAGATCTTTAGAGAGATTTATATGAACACTTCTATAAACACAGTTATAAGGATTGCACTTACTGTCCAGGTCCAAGATGTGTGAAGTGCATCTATAAGAACACAGCATGAATAAAAATGTGCACCTAATGAATTTTGGACCGAATTTTATTTTTTCACTGTATGAGAGACTATATTTCATCACAACTATGTATTGCGTGTAGCACTTTGGCCACACTGGGTTTTTTTTTAGTGACACACTGGGTAAGTTAATATTATTAGAAGAGTAGTAAGTGCCACGTGTATTTATAATACTTTGATGATGTAGTAATTTGGTACTGGCAGATAAGATTTCTATTTCAGGTATAGTAATGTGGATTTCACTAGTAATGAAAAATAATCATAATTACACAGTATTATTTTTTTAATTTCAGGTACTTATATAGGGCCACCCATTTACGCAGCGCTTTACATCTATATTGTACGTTCACATCAGTCCCTAACCCTCAAGGGGTGTACAATTGAAGGTCCCTAACTCACATTCATACATACACATACTAGGGCCAATTTAGACAGGATCCAATTAACCTACCAGCATGTCTTTGGGGTGTGGGAGGAAACCGGAGTACCCGGAGGAAACCAACGCAGACACAGGGAGAACATGCAAACTCCAGGCAGGAAGTGCCGTGGCTGGGATTTGAACCAATGACCATAGTACTGCCAGGCGGAAGTGCTAACCATTTAGCCACTGTGCTGCCCAATAATTACAAAGTAAAGTGACAACAACCAGCACCAGGGAAGTGATGCATTTTGCCACCATCTTACTCTGACTGGGACTGTCAGTACTAGAACACAAGGTCACTAGTGACTGTGATCCACAAACAATGGTACGTGGTTAGTTTGACACCGGAACAGATCAGCATCCCGGAGTATTAACAAAATGCTTATTAGCCCTTTTTTGACCAGCATCAGTTTGCGTCTGTTAATTTGACCCTAACTCTATAATTAGTTTGCCCTTCTACATAATGTTTTGGTATGCGGTTTTTTATAAACTCTTATATTGAACTGTATTATAACTGCACTGTCAGCCTCCATTTTGTAAAGCTCTGCGCATACTGTTTGCATTATATAAAGCCGGTGTAATAATACATTTGATGTCTTTGTTTTTTTATTATAGGCTGATAGACCCCAAACGAGACCCTGTCACTAAACCAAACAGCATATTTTTATTTATAAAAAATAATAGTTACAATAGTGATTATTACATCCTCTTTTCCCCTCTGTTCAATGATTTTAAAGCAGTAGTAAACCACAAAAAACTAAAATATTCACCCTGCAAGTTAAGAGTATAATGTGCTAGTATGTATCACGTAGTAGCACATTATGACAGACTTACCTGAAAATTAAGCCCTCCAGTGGTGCATTGTCCTCCCAGAACCCTGCCTCCCTGCACACTCCCAGGATGCTCGTCAGGTGCGCTCTTTCCTCACTGATGGGCACTGACAGGCTGCACTAATAATCAGGACACTGATGATCCGTGCCCTGCATATTTAATGTAAAAAAAAAAAAAGTTGTTTTTTTTTTTTTGGTCTTTTTTTTACAATTGTTTAGCAAAATTGAAAAATTCATTGGGTTTTAATTACCACCAAAAGACATTTTCTATATGTCTCAAAAAATAAATAAATAAAAAAATTCATATGGGTGCAGTGTTGCATGACCGCACAATTTTCATTCAAAGTGCAACAGTGCTGAGAAGCTAAAAATTGGCCTGGGCAGGAAGAAGTTGAAAGTGCCCGGTATTGAAGTGGTTAAGACGAGCCTTCACTATATCGTTTATTATTATATTAAGAAGGTCAAATGCATGGTTTACCGCCATAGGGATTGTTATTCATCCCCAAAAGAGCCTCTGCACTCCACTCCTTTGATCCCAGGAGATCGTTTCCTACAGGTAGGAGCCATATTCAAAATGTGTAAGCGTACAAACATTGTAACCAAATTTAAGCTATTTATTAACAGAACATAAAACCGAAAAGGCGCATTAGATTTATGCACGATGAATCAAATGGCAGATAGTACAGACACGCTTTGTGTAGCACCCCTACCCAACCTCCCAGCGTGTGCGCTTATGTCACCAGACTCTGCTTTACATTTTGCGTCTACTGGACTTGTCAGTGCAGGTTTTTTTTTTTTTTGGACAACCGTATTGTGGGAAGTAACCATGCAAACATAAAACCAAGTTAGATTTTTTTAATTGCAAAAATGTTGTGATTTAGTTACATGATATTTTAACGCAAGTGCATAGAAAACATGTGTAAATGTGCTTGGAAGAACGCCTCATATATTTGATAGAATGTATGCATTCATACTTGTGTCCTGTGGTCTCTTATATTCTGTTTTTCCTGATATCGAACACTTGTTGTACAACTTACTCATTGTTAATGCTGTTGCTTGTCTCTGTTACACAGTCATCCTTAGAAAGTGTCGGGACCTCTGTAAAAGTAGAGCTACCACCATCACCCCCATGTCCAACCCTGGATCCACCTACCACCCCCTGCGGCACATTACAAATAACTCTTCTCCCTGTGTCACCGACTACAGGTAAGAGTCTGTGTGTTTTATGTTGTGGTACTGCTGAGAATGAGAATGTGCCTTGGTCAAACCTATTTTGTTCCAGCAATAAGATTCACATAATGGTGAAGCAGGGAGGAGATCCTTGCACTGTAGGACATCTAGCACTGCTTCCTCTCCAGAAAGGACAGTGAGCAGCAAAGTAGATACATCACCGAATATCACTCCAAATCTCCTGAGATTAGCTGTCAGAGGCAGCAGTGCCTTAGATCTCACATTGCAGATGTAGAACTATAGGCAAAACTTTTTTCATATTCAATAGAGTTAAGGGAAGATGTAACCTCTGTCAGATTTTTGTTCACCATCTGTGTCCCTTTGCGGAAATTTCCCTTCACTTCCTGTCCCATAGCCAAACAAGAAGTGAGAGGAAATCCCTGCAAATTCCTGCAGGGAATGGGGGTCCCCATTGGAAATTTTTCTGGGGACAACCCAAAATGTATGAGTTTCTTTTGCTTTCAATAATAATGGTAACCAGGACAAATAGAGAGGGTGAATCTCCTTAACAGGGGCACAGACAGCAAAAAAAACTGATGGGTGTTCTAACAGGAACAGGAGTACCTTGGCATGGGAAGTACACTGCTATATTTTTGCAGGATAAAGTCAAAACAATGGGTAGATTTTTCAATGTACTGCTTAAGCACAATTTAACATTTCTAGATACTTCTTATGAGACGTTGAATCTACACTTTTAAAATTAAGGGTCACTCTAATGAATATCTAAAGTCCTATTTTATTTGTTTTGGATGGAGTATAAAATGGTTAAATCCTAAAAAAAAATAAAATCCTGCTAGAACTGTTACCCGGTTCCGAAGGAAAGTTCTCCCATCCTTGCCACGCATGCGTGTTGATCGGTGGTGAGCTGTGTCACTTGGACACAGTGCATCAGCAATCAGGGTAAAGAACCAATGATGTTGGCTCTTTACCATGTGATCAGCTGTGTCCAATCAAATGCTGGTTATCTGCATTTCCTTTCCTCAGCGCTGTCACAGCATGAGGAAAGCCGATAACTGGAGACATTTACACTGATGATCAGTGCCAATCGGTGTCCATCAGTGCAACCTATCCGTAACCATTAGTGCAGCCTCATCAGCACATCAGTGGAGAAGAAAAATTACTTATTTGCCAAATTTTATAACCGAAACTAAGGTGTGTGGTTTTTTTTTTTTTTTTTTTTTATAAAAACCCAAGTGGTGATTAAATAATATTGAAAGAAAGCTCTATATGTCTAAAAAAAAAAAAAAAAAAAAAAAAAAAAAGATTTCATATAGATACGATGTTGCATGACGCAATTGTCATTGAAAGTGCTACAGCGCTGAAAATTGGCCTGGGCAGGAAGGGAGTGAAAGTACCCATTAATAAAGTGGTTAATTAAAACTGTAAAGAAAATAATATATATATTGTTGGAGTTGGGCTATGAATAATTCCAAGTAGACCTTACCACCAAAAAAGCCTTGTTTCTTGCAAAAAAAAAACCTTTTGTATCACTTGGGGGATATATTCATGTTTTGATGCAAGTTTAACACAATTTTTACGCATATTCACAATTTTCCAATTGAAAAATGTTTAAATCTTGAGTGAATGTTGCGTAAATGTGTAAAGAGATTTATAAATAGATTCTTTGGGTTTTGGAGGGGAGCTGTAGAGGGGAGGAGGCTCATTTTGGTGAGGCATTGCTTTCTGTTTCCTCATAATGAAAGATTTGTCTATTCAGTCCTATGTGTGTGGATGAAGAATAAGTGAAGGTTTCGTGATGCATCAATATCTTCGCAAACTTGTAGTGCCACTCTAAGCACTCGCACACTGCAGTGGTGATCTTCAGCTCTGTCAGGTGCCGGCATCCAAACACACACATTACATGACTGTATTATAAAGAAGTTTAAGGACGCCGCACTCCTGTCAGTCAGAATAGTGAGATAATGGTGGAACAGCCTCGGCCCCTCGCTGGCTATGGCACCTGACGTGTTCTACGATTAAGCCCTGGGGGTGGGGTGAAACATGTCAGGGGACATGGCCAGAGAGGAGTCAAGGCTGAGGCAGTTCCACCGTTCCCTCACTATTCTAACTGACAGGAGTGCGGCATCCTTAGAGTTTTTCATATTAGCAACTTACAGTATGTACTACCCAGGAGGAAGAGACTTCTCGCATATGGATTAGTAGATGTTTGTGCCGCTTACATGAATGTTCTTTTGACCATATTACTCTGTTGTTCTCCAACTCTCAGCTACGGCTGGATGTCTCCCTAAATCCAACAGTTTCCTGTCTAAGAAACCGACATTACAACCCAGGCCTGCTCCAGGAACCAAACCAGCTCCTTCCCCAAGCTCTGCACCTCACGCCATCATCCTGCACCCGGTGACCAGCTCCCCTCCAGCAAAACACTCACCACCTCTCACAGGTACGCTCTTCCCTTTTTTTTTTTTTTTTTTTGATTGTTGGCTTGTTGCACCTCATTTATTAAAGCTAAATTCCAGGCGCACTTACGTACACAGTTGTTTTACCTGCCAAAGTAGTTGTATAGCCAGTGTAGTGATTTGTACACATTTTTCCACACCCCACAGCTAGACTGGTAATACTTGTAATTTCTAAAAAGAAATATCATCCTTAGCTAACCCGATAAGCAGTACTGCGATCTGCCTAGAAAGGTGTGTGTATTTCAAGACTCCCTGGGCAGATTTACAAATTCTTTGGCAGGTAAAACAACAAACCCATATGTATTCTTTGTGTTTACCTGTCAAGGTCACAGGTGTCAGACTAGGCAAGGTGACAATGTTTCTGTAAAGGGCACCCCCCCCCCAATCCTTACAGTTGCTTGCTTGCAGCCTCTTTTTTTGCAGCTGGCAATGAGGTCAGTTGTGTCAGTGATCCAGGGGAGTAGTGATGTCACTCTTTTGTCATATGACTGTGCTCGAACGCAGCAATTGGCTGCTAGGCCTAGGCACCATCACATGCCCTCAATACCTGGACCTGCCTGACAGTGTTGCAAAAGAGCAAGGAGTTCTGAGGAAGCGCAGGTAAGGTACGTATAGTGGGGTCAAGGGATAACCTTTCCATAGAATGTCTGCTTTGATTGTGTAACATGCTCTACAAAATAAAAGCTTAATCCAGTTACTGTGAGCTATATATAGAGTAGGCTTCATCATCAAATATAGCTCATGGGTATATAATATAAAGGCACAAAAATATGGAAACACTACCTGATTTGCAGGTGTGAAAGTGAAAACATGTTTCGCGGTGAAAGCAGAAGTGATGTAACACTCTTGCTTCAGCTGTGTGATGAGACACCTAGCTAACCGATGGGAATCCTCACTTTTTTCATTCATTGCGTGCGCTACTATTAATACAGAGTCAAGTCAGAGCTTACTAAGCTTCTAAGAGGGCAAATTGTTGGTGCTGTTTAGCTGGTGCCTCTGTGACTGAAGTTGTCAATTTATTTGCTGTGTCGCGAGGTACAGCATCAGAGGTTATGACGGCATATACAATTTCTGGGAAAACGCCGTCTTATAAGCATAAGTGTGGTCCACATGGTCAACTGACCGAAAGAGATAAAAGGACATTGTGCAGGACTGTGACCTGGAATAAGAAATCAACTGCTGCAAAAGTGACTGCAGAGCTCAATCTCAGTCTTCACAAGACTGAGATTGAGGTGTGTGTGTATGATGTGTGTGTATCTCTCCTCACCGGCCTCTTTATTAGGTACACCTGTTCAATTGCTTGGCAACTCAAATTGCTAATCAGCCAATCACATTGCAGCAACTCAATGCATGTAAGCATGTGGACGTGGTGAAGACAAGTTGCTAAAGTTCAAACCGAGCATCAGAATGCAGAAGAAAGGGGATTTAAGTGACAGTATTTCAAAAACCTCTAATGTACTGGGATTTTCCCACACAACCATCTCTAGGGTTTACAGAGTGTTGTCCGAAAAAGAGAAAATATCCAGCGAGCGTCAGTTGTGTGGATGAAAATGCCTTGTTGATGTCAGAGGAGAATGGGCAGACTGGTTCAAGATGATAGAAAGGCAACAGTAACTCAGCCACTCGTTGCAACCAAGGTATGCAGAATACCATCTCAGAATGTCCAACACATCCAACCACACGGCCACGTTCTGTGAATGAGTGCCTACAAGTCCTGGCAGCCTTAGCAGCTGTGGGCTTGTAGTTTTCAGTGAACCACCATGGCGCTGTGGAGCCCCGTGGTAGTTCATTCAAGCTTCCTGTCAGAATATCTGCTTGCTCGTACATTCCGTACAGCAAGCACTTATTCTGACAGTCTGCAGGAGACCTGCATGGCATCAGTGATCTACTGATCGCTGGCGCAATGCTTTACAGGCTCCTTTGAACAAAAATAATAAATGCACATTTTTTTTTTTACCTGCAAAAAATGTGCATTTTATTATTTGTCCAAAAGGAGAACTTATCCTTTAAGAGCAGGAATGTTGCATGGAATGTTTATTTCCTGGGTATATAGACTATATGTGCAGTCTTTTGGGTATTTCATGTCTGTGGTGTCTCATTTTCCCAATGGCCAGCAGGTGTCACTGTTGCTCTTTAGATATATGTATGGTGCGGTGATGAGAATGATGTTTATTATCTACAATAATTCATTTTTCAGTTTTTCTGCAGTTTACAGCACCAATATATAATTTTATTAAAAAAATAATGTATGATAGCTGTCAATGTCATCTTTTGTAAGACGTGCAGGCTCTGTCTGTCATCCTTGTTATTGCTTAAAACCCAATTCAGTTTAACTTGGCAAAGAATATTCCAAGAATAGCAAAAAAAAAGTGTGCAAAGTCTTACAGCTGGTTTTCTTTAAAAAGCAGCCACATCCAGAGAAGGAAAGTCTGTCCCCTGCCTGCATATTGATAAGTGGGACTCTTGTACTCTGTTTGAAAGCAGTGGTCTCTCTGCAGAGGTCTGACACCCCTCCTGCTGAGTCAGAACTAGTGATCTTTAATCAGCAGGGTGCGTGAGCTTTGCTGATTGCAGGGTACAGGTTTGAATCAGTAAGGGGCATGTCAGACCTCTGCAGAGAGACCACAGCTTTTACATAGAGTACAGGGGTTCTACTCTGCAGCATGATAGTGGGGGGACAGGCTATTACTATTGAGGCTGTAGATAATTTAGAAAGAAAACAAACTGTAAGTGCCCATCCACACCCTACCTGCGCTAAAATCGCACAGGAAAGTGCTGTGTGTTCCTGTGCAATTCAACCTGCATGCTAGCGGCACTTCTTTTGCGATCTCCAGCTGGTTTCAATAAAATGTTAACTTGTGTGTGCTGCCCCTGGAATCACAACTATCACTCTGTCAGTTTTTCCTCTGAAACCTGGCAAATATATGACCGGTGTGGGAATCTTTACCATTGAAAGGCAAATTTGTCTTTTATTATTTTTGCATCAAAATTGAATAGAACAAAACATGAGAAATAATAATAATATATATAAAGTAAATGAACATAAAAAATAGCACAGATGTAGTGATGAGCCATGGGGATAAGTGAAAATATTTCCATACAACAGCAAAATGGAAGGATCGACAACACAAAGTTACGAAAAAGCGTAATTTCCAGGGGGCATCCCCAGGTGAGATGTATGAAACCAAATGAGAAAACTCCGAACAACCACTTATATAAATCTGAGCTAAGAAAGAAGAGGGGAAAAAAAGGGGGAAGAAAAGAGAAAAACCAGTTGTAGAGGTAGTGAAAGATGAGAAGAGAGAGGGGTTGGGAGACGGTAACGGCAAAAAGCAGAACCAAGGCGGCTCTCCATCAGTATCCACCGATCTTTACTATTTAATAGCGTGCAGCAACAGCCCTGAAAAAAGTCCTTTCTCCCAAAACGCTTTGGCTTGACTTGTCGTTATTCTCAATAAATGCCGCTTAACCAAACTTGCATTCTTTTGGATATCAGACGCTTCGACTTTCCTATTATTCCAAATAAAGTGTTGACACCCCAAACGCAGTGTGTTTGCACAAACCTGCCCGCACTGGATCGCATGGTGCTTTTTGTACCATGCAATCCAGTTACAGTGCGTTTTTTAAAAGTAGTGCATGCACTACTTTTTGGTTTGGTGCAGTGCAATTTGAGCCCATTGAAGGAATGGGCTTGAAATCACACTGCATAGAGCCGAATGTGAATTGCATAGGAACTCACAGCTTGTATTTGTGCAATCCAGCTCTGGGCATGGTGTGAACCAGTCCTTGATCTTTGCCCAGCTGTTTTGATGCACCTGGAATGTATTGAGCTGATTTAAACTAAAGTTCCATCTGGGTTTGTTCCAGTGAAGGGAACTCTTAAGACGTCAGCATACCAAGACACTTTGGACAATTTCATGTTCCCAACTTTGTGGGAATAGTTTGGGGATGGCCCCTTCCTGTTCCAACATGACTGCACACTAGTGCACAAAGCAAGGTCCATAAAGACATGGATGAGAGAGTTTGAGGTGGAGAAACTTGACTGGCCTGCACAGAGTCCTGACCTCAACCCCATAGAACACCTTTCGGATGAATTAGAGCGGAGACTGTGAGCCAGGCCTTCTCGTCCGACATCAGTGCCTGACCTCACAAATGTGCTTCTGGAAGAATGGTCAAACCTTCCCATAGACACCCTCCTAAACCTTGTGGACGGCCTTCCCAGAAGAGTTGAAGCTGTTATAGCTGCAAAGGGCGGGCCAACTCAATATTGAGCCCTACGGACTAAGACTGGGATGCCATTAAAGTTCATGTGCGTGTAAAGGCCAGCCGACCAATACTTTTGGCAATATAGTGGATATACATACACACAAGCATCAAAGTTTGACTCTGCTGTCCAGTTGGTCAGGCACCTCTTGTCTCCCTCAGCACTGCAAGTCTGTGTGATGAGAGGTGTGGCCATTACTTAGCTATGCCAGCACAAAGCACTGCAGTATCAGGGCATGATGCACATATCCTCAAAAATGAGTTATTTTGAATATTTTTGCTGTGAAAATCTTAAAAATCGTGACCTAGAGTAGTGGAGGACTGTAAAGAGAAAAAAAGAGGTGGAGGGTTCAGTTGAGTTTCAAACTTCCGATCCGATTTAAAAACAGTTGGACTGAAAATACTAGACATTTCTTTTGGCACCTAATTTGAAAAGCCTCAGCAACTGCAATTCCACTGCTTGTATTATATCTTCAAATCAGGGAGATGCATGACACTGCAAAAGATTGCTAAAATAATTGCAGTATATAGATATAGTTAACATATTTGTATGACGTATCTTATGTGTTTGGTTTCCTGGCCCCTTTATTGCTAGAACAGGAAGGGTGTAGGCCGGCCAGGAGTCCTGGGTGCTTCCCAGCAATCACTGACTTGTTGTTTATGGCTGCTGTCTGCAGTCCCTGTGCTGCTCCTGGGTAGCCTGTACGTCCTGTAGAGATGTATTAGAGAGCTCTGTGAATCAGGCAAGGCCTCTGCTCCCCTGCCGGACATTCCTGCTACTAACAAACAAGCCCCTATGTATGAATGTGCTTTCCATACAATGATTTCATTGTTGGCAGGACATTATTATGTGTTGCTACCAAGACGCTTACTTCACTGATAGGCGGCTCCTGGCTACCCATGAGGATATCTGCTGCTCATCTTCATCATTGTTCTTAAAGCAAACCTGAGCTTGTCCCAAGCAACAGCTTCATTTTAATTGTGGATCCCACCATCAAAGTGTTATCTTCCATTCACTTTTCCACTGGTCTGTTTGTTTGCCTGAGGCAAACCTGTGTTAGATCAAAGTCAAAATGTGCATTAAATATACCATATCATTTCCTAATTGTTCCTGGAACTAAACTGTATCTGAGCACCACAAACTTAAACTTCCACGGGTGGAGCGCAACACAATTATTTATATTTTTTTTTAGTTTTTTTACACAGTTTTATGAGTATGTGTACTAGTGTTGATGCACCACTTTATTAATTAATTTTTTATTAATATTATCTTTAGTAGTCAGCTTTTGTTTATATCACCATAGTAGCTCAGGAGTATTCAATTCTTAATTCTTTAAACTTCTATTTAATTAATTTTTTAATACTCAAAGCGAGCTCACCCATCCATCCATGTCTCCATGTTTTTATTTTGTTGAAAAATCACCCACCCCCCAAGCCAAAAAAATAGAGGGTACCGTGTGGGATTTTTAGAGCTCTTCCTCAGTATAAAAATATCTCCCTTTCATCTTTGATGAAATACTTTGTTTAAAAAAAAAAAAAAAAAAATGGGCTAAATGCCCTTTTTACTGAATACCTGAACCTGTGTTCTTGATACTTCTGGACCAATCCTTCTCTTCTGCTTCCTTCCTGTAAGGGTTCTTCGCTGAGTGTCCACAATACTGCCTACATGACGTGGACACTTCTTATTAGATGGCTGCTGGTGGGGTCCATTCTGGATGATTTCATCACAGGGGGACAGTGGTCTTGGGTGCCATCGAGGCGCTGGATTAGCGGTCCCCAAACCGGCAGTGGTGAGGGACCTGGATAATGCACCTCAATCCCACAGGATACCCATAGCTTTTTGGTTGTGTGGAATATAAGGGATGTGGTACACCTAATATGGATGGCATCCATCCTTTTACTTAGTTTATCCTTGCAGTTTTCATATCATCCTGGCCATTGGCTGCCTCTGTTGTGTCTTGGTTTATCCCAAATTCTGCAGCATATATGGAAAAAAAACATATCCGATCTCCCCAAGTGTTGCACCGTGTTCTTTACTGAATTATTTTTCCTATTATTCTTTTAGCTATAAATAGCGTCAGCTTTCTCTCATTTTTACAAACGTCTCGCCCTGTGCAGCCTTTTCACTCACGGAGGATTGTCAGCTCCGCAGGCACAGTCTCTGTAGTTGCTTGCCATGTTTTTAAGCTGAGGGAATAGTCTGGCTTGGCCTGGAATCTGCTGTTTATACACAGATGTTCCTGTTTATTACATAGCTTATTAATTTAATAGCTGATTAGAATCGTTTGGCCACTCTGTGCTCCACGTGCCTTCAGCAATTGATCACGAGTTAGTGCATTGTTTAAAAGATATTCTTCATGTTTTCTGGGTGGGCCATTCTCTGGCCAGTTCATTGTCAAGACACCGGTGACATGCAAAAGACATGAAGGCTATGTATCTTATGACTTCTTAAAGTAGAATTCCAACTTAAAATGGATTGGTTTTCACTGTCTCCTTCCACCTCCTAACACCTATGCTAACTAACCTGTGCAAAAAAAGATGTGTGTACTTACCTATTTTCAGCTTGCTCTGGACTGGTCACATGATTTGGCCCCCTGTGTCAGCAAGGGAGAGGAGGGAGCGCCAAATATGGATGGGTCCAGGGAGCCTATGGGTAACGTCACCACTCCAGGTTTTACCAGCTGTTGAGCATTTTCCCCTCTACCCTACAGCCGGCACTGGCTGACATGGCATGATGTGAAAGGACTGGAGCACACTGCTAGGGAGATGAGGGAGCGCCAACAACGGATGGGCTCGGGGAGCCCACGCCAGGCTTTACCAGCCATTGTTGAACATTCTCTCCTCTACCATACAGTCAGCGCTCGCTGACAACAGATAATTTGATTAGACTGGAACAGGCTGCTGGGGAGTGTAGTGTGCGCTAACAATGGATGGGCCTTGGGAGCCTATGGGTAACGTCCATTCTCAAGGCTTTACCAGCCATTGTTGAACATTCTATCCTCTACCATACAGTCAGCGCTCGCTGACAACAGATAATTTGAATGGACTGGAGCAGGCTGCTGGGGAGTGTAGTGTGCGCCAGCAATGGATGGGCCTTGGGAGCCTATGGTTAACATCCATTCTCAAGGCTTTACCAGCCATTGGCGAGAATGCTCTCCACTCCCTTACAGCTGCTGTTGGCTGAGACGGGATAATGTGAATGGACTGGAGTGGGCTGAAAGCAAGTAAGTGTACACATCTTTTTTACACAGGTTAGGAGGGGGGAGGGGATGTTTTTAAGGCTACTTAGGTTTAAGCTGGAATTCCACTTTAAAGTGGATACACATGATATAGGGTTACATTTTTATATTCCAGTGTTTTTATTAAAAGATTGCAGAAGTACAAATCGAACAGTCAAACCAACAGCTTTGCACACAAAAAAGAACAATGGAACAGGAAGTCAGGTGTCTAGTCAAAGAGAAACAATCAGGCAAGTGCTATAGGCTCAGATATAAATCTTCTATAAATATTGAGAACGATAATAATCTACAGTAAGTAAGCAAAACACTAATCTAGCCCACAAGGGGACAGATAAGATAGGGACTTAATAATAATGACAAAAAAAGAACAACATGTCCATCAGTATATAAATTTATGTAGATAGTCATGCAGTGGGGAAGGAGCAAAAAAGGGAAGGATGACTGGGGAAGAGGGGAAAGGGTAGGGGAGAAACCACTGTGTAGTAGTCTAGAGAACATGAGTGGACCCTGAGCCATAAAACGTCCCAAGGAACTCTACGGTCACTTTACATACTGTAGGAAAAAAGAAACAAAAGGAGACAGAGAGAAGAAAGAGAGAAAAGAGAAAATAGGGTTACACTTTTTAAAGTCTGTCTGTGTATGACCCCTATAAAGATAACCTGTATCCATGCAAAGCAGTGTTAACTTAATTGTGCTGCTTATAGTTACCTTCATTGCCTGTTAATCTGGTTGGAGCTTACACGGGGCTAATAACTCCATCCGAGCTCTCAGTCCTTTCAATTGGCTGGTCTGGAGTGCAGCATTGCAAACTGGAAGGAAGGGAATGATTAACATGCTTTCCCAATCTTCATTCCAATTAGTGAATGTAATGGCAGGGAGTCTCCTTTTAATCCCAACCAATTCATTGACCAATCAAAGAATAAATGGTGAGTGCAAGACAAAAAAGGATAAAGTAAAGCAGCTAGCACAATGTGGCAAACCCTCTGTCTCCACCAAAACACAAAACACTATAAAATCAATGTGCAGCACTAATAAAAATGTGTGTTCTAGTCGAATGATGACCAATGTGATAGTAAAAGAGAAGGGAAACATCATAAAAAAAGAAATCGACAATAGTGAATACTCCAATGAAGAAACAAAATGGACGATATAATAAATGAAAATATATAAGTCCTCTAAATATCATAATAGTCCCAAAAATAGTGATGTGATCAAATCAACAAAATGTAGTGACCTCTGTGACTTCTGCACTGCACCTCCTCCATAATGCACTCACCAGAAGTAAGTAGCAAGCAGGCCCAGAGCGGAATGACACTAAGGGGTGTTCCTGCTTGTGCCTCCTGCTGATGACCCGGTTGAAGGTGGGATCTTTCCAGAAGCCAGTGATACACCAAATGAACAATCAAAAGTAGAGTAGGCAAGTCTCCATCTCCAGCCCACGTGAACCAAGGAAAGAGATTCCTCCTAGAGGGCAAGCTCATAAACCGAGCCTGGAGACAGTATCATATAGTGTAGTATGTTTTATTAAAAAAAAAAAATAGCAACCACGTGGAGCATAAAATCATCAATGGATAAAAAACACTTACAAAGATGGCCGCCGGAGCATCACGTGGACGCATCGGCGTAATGTCAGCATGTAGGCTCCTAATTAACGCGTTTCGTGCACACACACGTTCTCAAAGGGATCCACCTAATTAATTGACCAATGTTGTCATCTGTTATGTATATATAAGTTGACATTGTGTCTCTTGTTCCCTCAGCATCCTCCCCACCTGTGTTGGTGCCTCAGCTCCTGACCGTACACAATGGAGCGACTACAACATCACCCATTAAATCTGAAGCCAAAACCATTGTGCCTGCCCCGAGCACTGGCAAAAGCAGCCCCACTGAGGTGGACGTAAGTATTAGAGAGGGGAGATGATGAAAGTAAATTTCACACCGAGCAGGGTATTTGATTTCCAAAGCCATCTTCTCCACTTTTTTCCTGCATGGCATCATGTTCCTAAAACCCAGGAGCTAATTTTGAATATTCTGCAGCTTAAAGGTGCTTAGATTTGGTGGCTGCATTAGTTTGCTTTTTCAGGCTTAGACCATTTTCAGCAATTGCAGAAAGTACCTGGCCATCTGGCCAGAATCAGGCAATGTCCTGAGCGCTTATTTTATCTTCTGGAAGCTATTAATCCCTCCACCCCCTTTGTAACTGAGATGGAGAGAGAAAAACATGTTTGCTGTCCTGCCTGGGTTATAACTAGGGATGCACCAAGTACAAGTATTCGTGAAAATGTTCCCGATACATAAAACAGATGCTTTGCAGTGCTATTTGGGTCCATACGAAATGTACGGACGCAAATTGCACCGCAAAAAATAGGATCCAATTTGAACAGGAATGCAATTTCTGTGCAAATCGCATGCGGTTTCCACACTGCTCCTGTGTGAACCCAGGTGGGAAACCTCCTTGCACCGATCCCATACTGTCACCGAAGGAAAAGCTGGGGATTTAAAATCTCTGCAGCTTTCTCTCCTCTCAGTGCAAGGATGACAGTATGGGCTAGATGGCTTTTGATTGGTCAGCAGCGCCACATTTTGTATTGACACAAATCGCCCTGCAAAGTATCGGTACTTGGTATCGGCAAGTACTCGACCAAAAGTATCGGTACTTGTACTCCTGAATCAAAAAAGGGTATCAGTGCATCCCTAGTGATAACCATAGTTCCCTCTATAGATACAGTGGATAAATGAGTGTGGACGTGACGGGACATTAAACTTGGTATGTGCAGGATCACCAGTCACCAGGTGAAAATAACAGAAAAAGAAAACAAGACATTCATTGTTCAGGTTCATACAGTCAGGTCCATAAATATTGGGACATCGACACAATTCTTCAACTTGTACCAGAGTGATGGGAAGAGAAGAGTATGGAGAAGGAAAGGAACTGCTCATGATCCTAAGCATACCACCTCATCAGTGAAGCATGGTGGTGGTAGTGTCATGGCGTGGGCATGTATGGCTGCCAATGGAACTGGTTCTCTTGTATTTACTGATGATGTGACTGCTGACAAAAGCAGCCGGATGAATTCTGAAGTGTTTCGGGCAATATTATCTGCTCATATTCAGCCAAATGCTTCAGAACTCATTGGACGCCGCTTCACAGTGCAGATGGACAATGACCCAAAGCATACTGCAAAAGCAACCAAAGAGTTTTTTAAGGGAAAGAAGTGGAATGTTATGCAATGGCCAAGTCAATCACCTGACCTGAATCCGATTGAGCATGCATTTCACTTGCTGAAGACAAAACTGAAGGGAAAATGTCCCAAGAATAAGCAGGAATTGAAGACAGTTGCAGTAGAGGCCTGGCAGAGCATCACCAGGGATGAAACCCAGCGTCTGGTGATGTCTATGCGTTCCAGACTTCAGGCTATAATTGACTGCAAAGGATTTGCAACCAAGTATTAAAAAGTGAAATTTTGATTTATGATTATTATTCTGTCCCATTACTTTTGGTCCCTTAACAAGTGGGAGGCACATATGCAAACTGTTGTAATTCCTACACCGTTCACCTGATTTGGATGTAAATGCCCTCAAATTAAAGCTGACAGTCTGCAGTTAAAGCACATCTTGTTCGTTTCATTTCAAATCCATTGTGGTGGTGTATAGAGCCAAAAATGTTAGAATTGTGTCGATGTCCCAATATTTATGGACCTGACTGTATATATCTTTGATAGATAGATATAAGATCTCTTTATCTTATTTTATTTTTCTTAGTTTGGTATAGAGAAGAGAACCCATGTTGGCTCCTTTTTTGCGATCTGTGTCCCATTGTGAATATTTTGCTTCATGACCTGTCCTGGAGAAGGGGGAAGAAATTAGTGAAAACCTCTCTAAATTGAGGATTGCCATCAGAACAAGTGTCCCCATTAAAAGTATTCCATATGTTGCAGTACTGGTGACACTAAAAGTTTGGATTTCTGATCACTTTGTCACTCCCTATCAGAACTGTTATTCGCAGCCTTTCTTTTGGAACAGATGACTTGAGGTTCTGGTCATATGCCATTAGTGTCTAGGGAATGGACAGACTGCACCCAGAATACTTTTTCTTTTTTTTTAACCATCTAATGGCTTCTCCACTGTATGTGGGCCGCTACTGGTGCAGGTTTATGATGAGTTTTGACAGTAATATAAGCGTAACTCCATTCTTCACTCCAGCCTAAACTCCTAAAGAGACAACAGCGTATGATCAAGAACAGAGAGTCAGCGTGCCAGTCTCGGAGGAAGAAGAAGGAGTATGTGCAGGGGTTGGAGGCCAGACTGCAAGAGACTGAGAGACAGCTGGAGAATGCTCGAAGGGAGAACAGAGAACTGCGGGAGACAGTGCAGCATCTAATGAGAGAGGTATTTTGAAAAGTTCTTTCTGCTCACAAATCACAATATTGTTGGATCTTGCTATGACTCAGAAAACAACCCTGTCTCCCTGCCAAGGCATCATAGGCCACATGGTTCAAACCTCCAGTCACTACTACAGAGTCTATTACAATGAGATAATGCTTTTAAAGGCTGTAGGTTTTTTACCTTCAATGTGCAGCACCAACCCCCCCATTACTTGCCTGAGCCCAATTTCAATCCAGCGCTGTGCATGAGAGCAGAGGCTCTCCTGACTCTTTCCCTCCTCATTGGCTCAGAGACAACATTGGCTCCTGCTGCTGTCAATCTCAGCCAGTAGAGGGAGCATGGGGCAGGGCTATGGATACAGCAGGGCTCAGGAGGGAGCGCACACATAGCCAGCGGCTTCCTGTGAGGGCATTCCGCAGGGGGGAGGAGCCAGGAGTGCTGCCGGGGGACCCGAGAAGAGAAGGATCAGGTCTACTCTGTGCAAAACCTTTGCACAGAGCGGGTAAGTATGACATGTTTGTTATTTTTTAAAAAAAACTACCTTTTTACAACTCTGCTCCCCTCTCCGAGCAGGGCTCGGCAGCTCTGCTCCCCTCTCCGAGCAGGGCTCGGCAGCTCTGCTCCCCTCTCCGAGCAGGGCTCGGCAGCTCTGCTCCCCTCTCCGAGCAGGGCTCGGCAGCTCTGCTCCCCTCTCCGAGCAGGGCTCGGCAGCTCTGCTCCCCTCTCCGAGCAGGGCTCGGCAGCTCTGCTCCCCTCTCCGAGCAGGGCTCGGCAGCTCTGCTCCCCTCTCCGAGCAGGGCTCGGCAGCTCTGCTCCCCTCTCCGAGCAGGGCTCGGCAGCTCTGCTCCCCTCTCCGAGCAGGGCTCAGGCAGCTCTGCTCCCCTCTCTCCCCAGTAGGGGCTCGGCAGCTCTGCTCCCCTCTCCCCAATACATAGTAGGGGCTCGGCAGCTCTGCTCCCCTCTCCCCAGTAGGGGCTCGGCAGCTCTGCTCCCCTCTCCCCAGTAGGGGCTCGGCAGCTCTGCTCCCCTCTCCCCAGTAGGGACTCGACAACAGTAGGGACTCCCCAACAGTGACTTAGTTGCTTTGCTCCCCATCCCAGCAGTGTCTTAGCAGCCAACCACCTTTCTAATCTATAGACAGAACTCTGGGAGGGAGAAAAAGCAAAGTGCTGAATCCCAGTGTGAATGACCTCACTGTATCTCTTGAAGATGTAGTGCTCCACAGCGCCTGTTTTACTTCTAATATGTTGATCTCACTTCACTGGCATTTTTTTTTTCTCACTTTGACATTGCAGCTCTCCAAGCTGCCAATAAAGCAGTTAATTGGAGCAAAGTATGAATAATGAAGAGTAGATATTTCACTTACCATTATAAATCGGTCCCTTTTACAAATCTTATGTTGTACTTTGCCTGCAGAACACCTCGCTGCGCAGCTCCTCCGGGAACCGGAAAGTAGTATGTGTGATGGTTGTACTTCTGTTCCTTGCATTTAACTTTGGGCCAACAAGGTGAGTCAGAAATTGCAGTTAGTAGTGATAATTCTGTCTTCTGTACTGTTACTTGTTTGGTAATGTTGAAGACTTTCAGCACTTAGATGAGTAGCAAAGTATCTTCTTGACCATCACGGAACAGACCTAGTGAAATGTGACCAGCTGCTAGTAGCAATACCACGACTTGGATAAATGGGAACCGTCAGGCTGGATTCACAATTTTTGTGCTGTGTTCGCATACACAGGTTATGTCACACATGAATGTGCTTTGTGTTATGGCAGCCCATTCAATTGAATAGGCTGCTAACGCACCAAAGAAGATGTGTGTTGACATTCAAAATTACTGTCACTGGAACACATCAACTTGTGTAACATGCGGTGCTGCAGCAAAGATCGCATGAAAAGGGCCTCATGAACACAAAGTGACTTGGTGTTCTTTGGGGATCCTAAAGTGTATTTTCAGGCATTGCCTAGTTCAGTGGTGGGCAACCTTTTTTTTTCAACTGAGCCAAATCTCGCCAAAACCACGATTGAAATTTATTTTGAGAGCCACATTTTTAAAACTGAAAATTCATCCCCCATATAGTAATTCATCCCCCATATAGTAATTCCCCCCATATAGTAATTCATCCCCCTATTTAATTCATCCCCCATATAGTAATTCATCCCTCATATAGTAATTCATCCCCCATAGTAATACATCCCCCATACATCCCCCATATAGTAATTCATCCCCCATATAGTAATACATCCCCCATATAGTAATTCATCCCCCATATAGTAATACATCCCCCATATAGTAATTCATCCCTTATATAGTAATTCATCCCCCATATAGTAATTCATCCCCCATATAGTAATTCATCCCCCATATAGTAATACATCCCCCATATAGTAATTCATCCCTTATATAGTAATTCATCCCCCATATAGTAATTCATCCCCCCTATAGTAATTCATCCCCCCTATAGTAAATCATTCCCCATATTGTGTCAATTCACTTACCTTTGCTCCGCGCGTTCCTCTCGCCGTGTTCCCGCGCCGTTCCGGTCTTCAGGGCGGACTGTGAGAGGAGAGGAGTTCGTCACGCTGCCCTGCCTACATCCTGACAGCCAATGTTTGCCACACTCCGCGGGCCGGATTAAAAGGTCCGCCGGGCCGTAGTTTGCCCATTGCTGGGCTAGCTGCAGAGTCCTGACTTTTGGGGCGGCCGCCCGAGAGGAGGGAGGGGAGCGGGCACCCGGCACACTGAAGAGCCGCATTAAAGAGTGTAAAGAGCCGCGGCTTGCCGACCACTGGCCTAGTTAACCCCAAACCTCCCCTCTAGATCATGTCCCAGAATTGATTTTGTTTTCTCCTTTTCATGTAGCAATAAACAGCTTTTATTACTCCATGACATCATCTCCAGGAGTGTAGACAGCTCCCATTACACATCTCCCAAGGGCCCTTTCCCTACAAACAATGTGTGGACAGGCTCTTGGGAGTCAAGGCAGTAGTATTGTTTTACTGGGAAAGAAATCAAATCGATGTACACGTGGTGTAACAATTGAATTCCCAGACTAGCGGCTGTCACCTTCAAAGTAGTCCCCTTGTGAAGCAACACACTTTTCTAGACTGTGCCACTGCCGGAAACATTCCTAGGTTTTCATTTTTTCCTGGAACACTGCACAGTATCTTTGTTGTAGCCCGCTGGGTGTCTGGAATGTTCTCAGATCTGTGTCCTTTTTAAGTTGTTTTTTTTAATTTTGGAAACAACCAAAAGCTGCAGAGTGCTAAGTTATGGGAATAAGGTGGTTGGTCAAGTTTTGGGAATGGATTTCTGGGTTAGAAACTCGCGAACACTTAACACATCGTATGCAGGAGCATTGTCGTAGTGGAGAATCCACTTCTCAGGCTAGACTTTGGTCTTTTCCTCCAAACAGATTCTCTGCTCACTACATCCTTTGTGTTTTTGGTTTCCCACTTGTGTCATAGTGAACATCTCAAAATATTTTCTTTTTTGAGGAATATTATCGAAGGAATTTTCTGAAGGATTTTTGAACACGATATCATTTGAGAAGAACTTGATTTAAAATTTTTTTTTAGACTTATAGGGTTTGGACTGCACATATTTTTATTGAGGACTTATTGTATAGCATCTTCTGTTTATTAATTTTTGTACATCTTTTGGGGTAAAGGTGTTTGATGGTGCTGTGGGGAATTATGTTTATATAGTTTTGTTTATTTAGAGAGTGGTTTTGAAGTTAATTAATCGTGGACATCTTGCTACCCCTTAAACCACCTATGCACTTCAAAAACACTTGATTTCTTCAAGGAATGTTCACCATGGCAGCACAGTGGCTAAGTGGTTAGCACTTCTGCCTGGCAGTACTAGGGTCGCCGGTTCAAATCCCAACCACGGCACCACCTGCCTGGAGTTTGCATGTTCTCCCTGTGCCTGCGTGGGTATGAAAGTGTAGCGCTAAACAAATGATATAATAACAAGTGAAACAGTCAAGTGCACCATATAAAGTGAAATATAGTCCAGAAAAATATATAAAAAATGTATTTGTGTCCGTGGTTACTACAAGGCACAGCAATCACGGTGAAGGATAAAACTGATATTGATCCAGTGAGGGAATCCACCACCTCTGCCAGATGTAAACTCACCAGAAAGCTACTGGTAAATAGCATGTATGCACATCACATCAGGGGACCAGAAAGCAAGCAGAAGGGACGGAGGAGGAGGACAGAGCCAGAGCGGAGAGAAGGGTCCACCTTAATTTTGCCTTTGGTGGAGCAGTTAGAATCTTCTGGCTGCTTTCTGGTCCACTGATGTGATGTGCATACATGCTATTTACCAGTAGCTTTCTGGTGAGTTTACATCTGGCAGAGGTGGGGTATTCCCTCACTGGATCATTACCACAGTTTTATCCTTCACCATGATTGCTGTGCCTTATAGTCCCACGGACATTAATACATTTTTTATATATTTTCTGGACTATATTTATTTCACTTTATATGGTGCACTTGACTGTTTCACTTGATATTATATCATTTGTTTAGCACTGCACTTTTATACCACGTATATTTCTGTACTTTGCAGTGTTATGGCTTTAAAAACACTGCAAAGTACTGCATGTATTGCAGAGATATAATGCATATGCTATTGTTACTATGCCAAGACATACAGATTAAAAGCACTAGAGATCCCCTTCAGGTTTGGTGAGAATGTTTTGCACTTTTCACAAATCTGGAATGGTTAGTGCTCCTCTGAAGCCTTGTACATATGATGAGATTATCGGATGAATGATCGTTGGTTTGTTTTTTTTTTGCATGCTAATCTCCATAAATGAAGAGGTTACTCAACATATGAACATTTTCATACAACAGAATGCTTGAGGTGATTGTAGCCGTATTAGTGCATTTGCGACAGAAACAATTGAATACTGTCCGTGATACTTTTTTTATTTGCACTAACATACAATTTTGAGGACAATCTTTCGGGGTATGTCCCCTTCTTCAAAGTCCAAGCAGTACTATTACAAATCACAAAGTTTAAGCAGAATGTTAGAAGGGATTGATTAAAAAAAAAAAAAAAAAGGCTACAGATAAGATACATCAAAAGCAAGGGGGGAGGGGGGGATACAACACTCACACAGAGGGGGTCAAGCTTCAGCTAATAGTCATGAAACTGTCGGATAATGGTTGTGGAATCCCATGTCCAAGTTAAGGCCATTACCTTTTGTGTCAGATAGAATTATCATTCTTAGTTCAAATGTTTTTCTTTCCTGGATAGATTTGAATTTTCCTTTCAGAACCAAAACATTGAGGTCTTCCATATTGTGACCTGGTTGTGTGAAATGGTGTCCTACAGGTGTGCAGAGGTCATCTTCTTTATGAACATAAACCAGGCCACAATATGGAAGACCTCAATGTTTTGGTTCTGAAAGGAAAATTCAAATCTATCCAGGAAAGAAAAACATTTGAAATAAGAATGATAATTCTATTTGACACAAAAGATAACGGCCTTAACTTGGACATGGGATTCCTCAACCATTATCCGACAGTTTCATGACTATCTATTTATTAGCTGAAGCTTGACCCCCTCTGTGTGAGTGTAGTATTCCCCCCCCCCCCCCCCCCCCCCTCGCTTTTGATGTATCTTAACTGTAGCCTTTTTTTTTTTTTTTCTCAATCCCTTCTAACATTCTGCTTAAACTTTGTGATTTGTAATAGTACTGCTTAGACCTGAAGAAGGAGACATACCCCGAAAGCTTGTCCTCCAAAATTGTATGTTAGTGCAAATAAAAAAGTATCACGGACACTACTCAATTGTTTCTGTCATACAACAGAATAGAATTTTGGAAGTGATGTATTGTATTTGTATTGTGCTTTCGGATGAAAAATGTTTCTCCTTTCGGATAATTTTGATGAACTGTTGTGATTGGCTGTCGAAAGCTGTGTACTAACGATCAGATTATTGTATGATCTCTTCGAAAGCATTATTTTTCGTACGATTTTCTGATCTTGTGTACAAGGCTTCATTCTAGTTTGGTACTTCTTTCAGGTATGAAGGCATTAATAATATGCTTTTTGTGTTTCACTGTCAGTCTCATACTCAGTGTACAGGAGTCGCCTGTGAAAAGTCCAGAAATCTCCAGCAATGTTCGGCATTTATTGTCTTACAAAAATGAAGATGAACCATCAGAGCGGCCACAGCCGAAACTCTACATCCCAAGGCCGACTAAACCGAAGAGCACTTACAGGTAGCTGCAATTGTTAAATATTGTGGTTGTGCATGATTCATTAAAAAAAAAAAAAAAAAAAGTGTTTTGGTCAGTTAAGGACCAAGGAGACTTTCTCTGAGAACACACACCCAAATATGTAGCTGTTGGGATCTGTTGTAAATTTGAAAGCTGAGGTCTCTGTAGTAGTACTGCTATTAGCAGATCTTTTAAAGTGGTTGTAAAGGCTCAAGATTTGTAACCTTCATGTATTCTAAGCATGAAGGTAAACAAATCACCTGTGTGCAGCAGCCCCCCTAATACTTACCTGAGCCCAATCTCGACCCAGCAATGTGCACGAGAGCCTCAATTGTGCCAGGTCTCTCCCTCCCTCCTCATTGGCTGAGACAGCCAGCAAGGAGAGTGCGGGGGGTGGGGCTGAGCCACGTCTGTGTGTGATTGGACACGCAGAGCAGTTGATTGCTATGGGGACCATTGGTAGGCAGAAGGGACAAGGAGTGCCGGCAGGGGGACCCCAGAAGAGGAGGATTGGGGCTGAGCAGGTATGTATAACATGTTTGTAAAAGGCAGATTTTTTTTTTTTTTTTCTTTTAACATCACTTTAATCCCTTGATGCCTTCTGACGGTCCTTCAAGGGGTTCTGAACAAGTTTCCGATCAAGTTGCCACTATTGGCTGTCACAGTGGTCACCTAATCGGAAGGTCCTCCCACTGGCTTCCAATTGTTAATGGTAACCATGAGCTGTCATTGACTTGGTTAGTGCACTAGAAGCATGCAGTGAGCACACAACATGTGTGCACACAATATTTGCAGCACGTGGACTTTAGGGCTCACCCGACCTTCCGCTGCACATATGCACTGGGCGGTTGACAAGAGGTTAAGAACTGATCAGCGGGAAGAGGTGTTTCAGTTTTAAACAGAAAAAAAAAAATACTGAACACTGTATTGACTGCTCTCTGGAACAGCTACTTGCAATGATGTATCCCTTTTTTTTTTTTTTTAATAAATATCCTTGGTAATTATCCCCTTGTAATGCTTAACCACTTGCCCTCTGGAGGATATACCCCCCTTCCTGACCAGGGCATTTTTTGCAATACGACCCTGCGTTACTTTAACTGACAATTGCGCGCGTCATGCAACGCTGTACATAAATGAAATTTATGTCCTCCACCCCCCCCCCCCCCCCCCACAGATAGAACTTTCTTTCGGTGGTATTTGATCACCTCTGTGGTTTTTAGTTTTTGCACTGTAAACAAAAAAAGACAGACCATTTTGAAACAAAGCAATATTTTTGACTTTTTGCTACAAAGCATATCCAATACAAAAATTGTAAAAATCTAATTTCGTCATAAAATTTAGGCCAAAATGTATTCTGCTACATACCTTTGCTAAGAAAAAAAAATCCCAATACGTGTAAATTAATTGGTTTACGTGAAAGTTATAGTGTTTACAAATGGCGGTATAGATACTGGAATTTTTATTTATTTATTGATTTATTTTTTTTATACTAGTAGTGGTGCCGATTAGCGACTTATAGTGGGCCTGTGTCGGGCATTCTGACACTGGGAGGGAAATTACTAACTGCCACTGACATCCCAAGTGACACTAATATAGTGATCAGTGCTAATAAAAAGCACTGACACTGTACTAATGGCACTGGGCAGGAAGGGGTTAACATCTGGGGCGATCAAAGGGTTAACTCTGTGCTGTGTGTGTTTTACTAAGGGGACATGCTGCTTTGTATTTCTCTGTTGTGCAGAGAAATACACAGCAGCATTTTAATGATGGCAGGAGAGAGACCTGTGTTTGTTTACACACAGGTCTCTCCCGTCAGCTTTCCCGACAATCGCCGAGTGCAAAAATGTGCAATATTCTTTTGTAGGCAATCCTTTGTTATATAGTTTTTTTTTTTTTTTTTTTTCTTTTTTCATATTTTTTTGGTACAAGTTCAGTTGGTAGTTTCATTTGCAAATATTTTTGTCATGGTTTCTACCACAAGCAACGTTTTGGATTTATAATAAAAGGAGAGATTTCTTAAAACAGCGCTTTACCCATAACAACTTGATAAAAAAGTAATGCTCTTTTAACAAGGAATATACATTCCACATTAATAATTATGCTTCCAAAATTAGTGTGTGCTGTAAATTACTCCCAGAATTGTTCCAGTTTCTTCTTGCTGGAGCCTGCCATTTTGCCGAGGCCCAGAGCCCCTGGGCAGCAGTAAGTCTTTAGGCTGTCAGCAGATCGACCTCTACAAAATTAGCAGTGCCTAATAAAAGAGAGCAACTGAGCATGTGCAGAGCAGGGTAAGGCAGTGTATTACTGGATTTTAAACAATATAGGTACTTGGTTTTAATGTTTTACAGAGCTATACCTGCAAAAGGGGCCAGCCTGAAGTGATCTTGAAGGACTTAATTTTCTGACTACAGTTCCACTTTAATAAAAATTAATACTCTATACTTATAGTAACACATTTTTTTTTTTTTTTGGCAAAAAAAATAAATTTTGTGAATCAATACCGTCCGATTTGATAAAGCGTGGCAGTTTAGTGTGATAATTAGGCCATGGTGGTGTTGAATAAGGGGTTATAGACCACATTGGAAGATTTTTCTTCTCCATAGAAAAGGAAATGAGACTTTTTACCGCATGTGTTTCATGAATACAGTTGAGACCGGTCCCAGTGGTAGAGGATATCTGTTGCCTTTAGCTGTCGCTCTGTCTTGATATAACTTGTTGTGTAGATTATATCTGTGGTGTGTTGATTGTGTTTTAGCAGTTGTGATATCTTGTTTCTCCCAGTAACACTAGCAGGTCTCTGGCAAATGTGGAACACCTGATGGTTCATGACTTGGATCAGCTTTTCCTGGCATCCGACTGCAGGCACTTTAATCGCACAGAGTCCCTCCGGTAGGTGGCCCTGTGTTGGGAGATAGTGCTAAACTTTTAGTGATAGATAGATAGATAGATAGATATTTTATTTTTCAATTTATTTTTTTAAATCTGGTTGGGGGGTTTAGGAAAACGTTCTATATATCTGTTGGATGGGGCTGAAGAGAAGTGTGTGGGGGGGGATTTGAAGAGTCTTGTATGTATAGCTACTGTCATGTATGGAAATAAATAAAAAAAGTGCTGCGCTATAAGATCATGTATACGAATGTGTCTAATTTATGACTGAATACCAAATTATTTCAAGATAATGTGTTATAATACCCAAAATAATATGTTAGCAATATTCATCAGTATCTTTCACATTAAAAATCAAAAAGCTTCCAAAAAAAACAGTGCAAAAATAAAGCAAGTGCACAGTGAAAATAATTGCTGCGCAAACAGTCCGTATGAACTGCATTCTTCAGTATAGTGATGCAACATCCAAATCAGAAGCTTCCAGAATCAGTAGAAAAATAGAGCAAGTTGTAGGAAGCAAGTGCACAGTGAAAATAATGACTGCGCAAACAGTCCGTATGAACTGCAGTCCTCAGTGTAGTAAAGCAGCATCCAAAGCTTTTTGATTTTTTTTAATGTGAAAGTTACTGATGAATATTGGTAACATATTATTTTGGGTATTATAACATATTATCTTGAAATAACTTGGTATTCAGTCATAAGGTAGACACATTGGTATACATGGTCTTATAGCGCAGCACTTTTTTGATTTATCTGCATTTGTTTATGGGGTGGGTTCACCATATGTGCTGCTGCTCCCAGGTCTCCAAGCGCTCACTTTATCTTTGTTTTTCGATGTATATGGAAGTAGTTGCTTGATGCTGGGTGTCGTTCAGCCCAGTAGAGGTGAGGGTGCTTGCAGGACAAATTAATATCTGGGGATCAGCAACAGTGACAGGGTGGGTATTTTTTTGTTTTATAAACATGCTGGGGGTTGATGATTTTTTTTGTTTTTTTTTAAACATGCTGGGGGTTGATGATTTTTTTTTTTTTAAACATGCTGGGGGTTGATGATTTTTGTTTTATAAACATGCTGGGGGTTGATGATTTTGTTTTTTTAAAACATGCTGGGGGTTGATGATTTTGTTTTTATAAACATGCTGGGGGTTGATGATTTTGTTTTATAAACATGCTGGGGGTTGATGATTTTTGTTTTTTTTATACATGCTGGGGGTTGATGATTTTGTTTTATAAACACGCTGGGGGGTTGATGATTTTTGTTTTATAAACATGATGGGGGTTGATGATTTTTGTTTTATAAAACACGCTGGGGGTTGATGATTTCTGTTTTTTTTAAACATGCTGGGGGTTGATGATTTTATTTTTATAAACACGCTGGGGGCTGATGATTTGTGTTTTTTATACACGCTGGGGGTTGATGATTTTTGTTATTTATAAACACGCTGGGGGTTGATGATTTTTGTTTTTTATACACGCTGGGGGTTGATGATTTTTGTTTTTTATACACGCTGGGGGTTGATGATTTTTGTTTTTTATACACGCTGGGGGTTGATGATTTTTGTTTTATAAACACGCTGGGGGTTGATGATTTTTGTTTTTTATAAACACGCTGGGGGTTGATGATTTTTTTTTTTTTATAAACACGCTGGGGGTTGATGATTTTTGTTTTTTATACACGCTGGGGGTTGATGATTTTTGTTTTATAAACACGCTGGGGGTTGATGATTTTTGTTTTATAAACACGCTGGGGGTTGATGATTTTTGTTTTTTATACACGCTGGGGGTTGATGATTTTTGTTTTATAAACACGCTGGGGGGTTGATGATTTTTGTTTTTTTATACACGCTGGGGGTTGATGATTTCTGTTTTTTAAACATGCTGGGGGTTGATGATCTTGTTTTTTTTTATATACGCTGGGGGTTGATGATCTTTGTTTTATAAACACGCTGGGGGTTGATGATCTTTGTTTTATAAACACGCTGGGGGTTGATGATTTCTGTTTTTTATACACGCTGGGGGTTGATGATCTTTGTTTTTTATACATGCTGGGGGTTGATGATTTCTGTTTTTTTAAACATGCTGGGGGTTGATGAGTTAGTTTTTTTAAAACATGCTGGTTTTGGGCTTCAAGAAAAGAGTTTTTTTTTTTTGTTTTTTTTTTACTTTAAGAGTTCAGTCATACCGGGTGCAACTTGTTATGTGATTTGCCATGCCATGTGTGTTTCAAATCGCATGGCAAGTCGCACTTTATAGTCCACAATTAAAGTGCTCATATCGATGCGATTCCAACTACTTCATATGCGACTTGCATAGACATCTGTGTCTTGCAAGCCGCAGATGTCTTGCAAGTCACACCTGACATCCGACTTTGAAATTGGTGTGACCGGGTGTAAATGTAAATGTATTAATTGTCATCATTTTTATTTCCCTCTGAATCAGACTAGCTGATGAGCTCAGTTTGTGGATTCGTCGACATCAGAATGAAAGGAAGTCAGGAAAACATCCTCCCAAAAAAGCAGAGGAAAAAGAGGGTAAGTAAGGTGAAGGGACAGCATGGAAGTTTGGAGCGTCTGATGACTGAATGCTGCGAGATTACTCTGCCTTTCCTGTCCTAGAATCCTCAAGTACGAAGCAACGTGGGTTTATCCGACCTGATTCCAGCTCAGATGTCCAGAATCCAGTCGCACAGGTTTGTCTGCAGCTCTTCATCTTCTTATTTGTCCAGTATTGCTTTAAATGTGACTTTATTTTGAACATCAGACTAAAAATAAAAACACAATTTAATCATTGTTCATTAACCACTTCAATACCGGGCACTTTTACCGCCTTCTTGCCCAGTCCAATTTTCAGCTTTCAGTGTTGTCGCATTTTGAATGACAATTGCACGGTCCTGCAACACTGTACCCATAAAAAAAGTTCTAATTGTTTTCACACAAATAGAGCTTTCTTTTGGTGGTGTTTAATCACCACTGAGTTTATTTTTTGCTCAATAAACAAAAAAAGTGAAACTTTTGTGAAAAAAAAACTTTTTTCGTCTTTGTTATACAATTTTAGAAATAAATAAAATTTCTTCATAAATGTAGGTCAAAATGTATTCTGCTACATTTCTTTGGTGAAAATACCCCAAATTAGTGTATATTACCTAACCTCCTCCTTTGCACTTGCACAGTGCATACAATCCACCACCCACTCCGACGGAAATATCCTGGACCTTGTCTTCTCCAACCGCTGCGCTCCCACAACCTCACTAACACACCCCCTTCCCTCTCTCTGACCACAACCTGATCACCTTCTCTATCTCCTCGTCCTCAACGCCTACCCCTCCAAATGTCACACTACTACCAGCCGTAACCTCCGCAACCTTAACCCTGCCTCCCTCCACTCTGCAGCTGATCAACTCCACGACCGCATCCTCCCCCTGTCCTGCCCGACTTGGCTTTGACCGCCTACAACAATGCGCTCTCAACAGCCCTTGACTCACTAGCGCCTTTAACCACACGCAACATCAGACCCCGACCGCTCCAGCCCTGGCAGACTGATCACACCAAAACCCTCAAACGACACAGTCGTGCCCTGGAGCGACTATGGCGCAAAACCAAATCCCAACAAGCCTTCACCCGCTACAAATCTGCCTTCCGCACCTACACCTCCTCTCTCCATGCTGCCAAACAGGCCTACTTCTTGACCCTCATCAAGGCCCTCTCCTCCAATCCTCGCCGACTCTTCTCTGCCTTCAACTCTCTACTCTCTCCACCCCCACCTCCACCCAGCACCTCACTCACTGCCCTTGAGATTGCCAATCACTTCAAAAACAAAATTGACACAATTCGCAAGGACATTGCCGCAACTCACACGCCCTCTCAAACCCGTCCCCTCTCACACAGTTACCCCCTTATCCCCCCTCCCCCTCGACATAACCCGCAGGGACTTCGTCGCTGCTCAAACTCTCTCCAACCCCCTTCACCCTCACTCAGCTACCCCCTCATCACCCCTCTCCCACAGCCCCACCACTGCTCTGACCTCCTCTTCCACCCCACCCTACATTCCTCATACTGAAGCTCCCCAACACTCCACACCTTTGACCTTACTACCATCGAGGAAGTCTCCAAGATCCTCTCTGATGCCCACCTCACCACCTGCCCCTCGACCCTATCCCCTCACAACTCCTACGACCTTCCTCCTCCTCCATCTACGCTCCCTCACCCACATCTTCAATCTCTCCTTCCTCAGGCACTTTCCCCTCCCCTCTGAAACATGCACACATCACCCCCATACTTAAAAAGCCCTCCCTGGACCCCAGTGACCCGAACAACCTCAGACCCATCTCCCTGCTCCCATTTACATCTAAACTCCTCGAGCGCCTAGTCTACACACCCGCCTATGCTCTTACCTCAACGACAACAACCTCCTCGATCCCCTACAGTCCGGCTTCCGTCCCCTACACTCCACCGAAACTGCCTTACTCAAACTCTCCAACGACCTGCTAACCGCCAAAGCTAATGGCCACTATTCAGTGCTCCTACTCCTTGACCTCTCTGCGGCCTTCGACACAGTCGACCATCCCCTTCTCCTCAAAAAAAACTACACTCCCTCGGCCTCAGAGATTCTGCTCTCTCCTGGCTCTCATCCTACCTGTCCAACAACGCTCCTTCAGCGTTACCTATAATGCTACCACCTCCCCCTCACTCCCCCTCTCTGTTGGGGTCCCTCAAGGCTCTGTCCTCGGGCCCCTTCTCTTCTCCATCTATACCTCCTCCCTTGGCCAACTCATACACTCTCACGGCTTCAACTACCACCTCTATGCCGACGACACACAAATCTATCTCTCAAACCCCCACCTCACCCCCTTGGTCTCAGCCCGAATCACACACCTACTGAGCGACATATCAGACTGGATGTCGCTCCACTTCCTTAAATTGAACCTCTCCAAAACCGAGTTTCTTGTCTTCCCCCCAGCCCGGACACCACCCCCCATTGATTTCTCCATCACATCCAACAACGCTACCATCAAACCCGCCCGGCCAGAGTACTGGGTGTCATTCTGGACTCCAACCTATCCTTCCAGCCCCAAGTCCAATCTTTAACAAACTCGTGCAGACTCCACTCCGCAACATCGCCAAAATCCGCACGTTCCTAACCCCAGAAACCACTAAACAGCTCATCCACTCCCTCAATCATATCACGACTCGACTACTGCAACTCCCTCCTCACTGGCCTGCCTCGCCGCTGGCTATCCCTCTTCAGTCCATCCTGAACACGGCTGCCAGACTCATTCACCTTTCCAACCGCACTGTCTCCGCCACCCCCTCTGCCAATCCCTCCACTGGCTTCCGATTGCGCAACGGATCAAATTCAAAATCCTAACGCTGACGTACAAAGCTGTCCACCATACTGCCCCGAACTACATCACTGACCTAATATCCAAGTACCGCCCAGCACGCACACTCCGCTCCTCACAAGACCTCCTTCTCTCTAGTTCCCTGGTCTCCTCCTCCCATGCCCGCCTCTCAGGACTTCTCCAGGGTGTCACCCATCCTCTGGAACTCCCTGCCCCAACCCATCAGATTATCACCTACTCTCCTCTCCTTTAGGCGCACCCTGAAAACCCATCTCTTCAGGAAAGCCTACCCCACCCCTGCTAACTTGCCGACCTCCCCCACTCTTCCTACCACTCCATCCCCCACAGCTATCTCCTCCTGTGCCACCACCCCCTCCCTCCTAGATTGTAAGCTCGAAAGAGCAGGGCCCTTGATCCCCTCATGTTTTGCATTGTATTGGTATTGTTCTGTCACATGTTCTGTCTCCCTTTTGTAATGTACAGCGCTGAGCGAACTATTGGCGCTTTATAAATACTGTATAATAATAATAATAATAATAATAATAATAATAGTCTGTAGGAAAGTTAGAGTCCATAATGTACTGACGGCCAATCTCATTTCTTGAGGTCCGAAAACACCAGGACAGTACAAATTACCCCCCAAATGACCTTTTTTGGAAAATAGACAGTCCAAGGTATTTAGTAAGAGGCTTGGTGAGTTTTTTGGAGGTTGTCATTTTTTGTTACAATGTTTTGGAAATTTGGAAAATAATTTTTTTTTTCTCTACATATTGTCACCAGTCCAGTACAGCGTGATTATATAACTGTTGTGGCGGCAGTGATCAGGGACACTGGCTGGTAACAGTATGTTAAAAAAATATATATATATATTTTTTTTTTCAAATCTTTTTATTACATTATTTTTTATTTTTTTGTATTTTTTTTTCATCACACTGTGACCAAAGCAATACAATGTTACCATAGTAACATTGAACTACTCTGGGCAAGTGATCAGGATTTTTTTTTTCTTTTAACACATTATGATTGCTAATACCGATTTCATTGATATTTGCAATCATTGTTACTGAATGAAACTGATTAATTCAGTCTTTTGTTGTGATTAGATGTGATTGGACAAAGCTCATCACATGATACAGATGGGCTGTGATTATATTATATATTTTATAAAATCCAGTGTCTCACTCTGCTTTGCACATGCTCAGTTGCTCTCTATTTTTTGGCACTGATGAAAATTTATAGGCCAATCTGCTGACAGCCTAAAGGTTTACTGCTGTTCAGTAAAATGGCAGCCTCCAGCAAGAAGAAACAGGAGTAATCCTGGAGGCAATTTACAGCACACTCTAATTTTGGTGGCATAATTATTAACCGCTTTCCGTCCGCCTTATAGCAGAAATACTGCTACAGGGTGGCACGGGTGCGCAAAATCACGTTTATATATACGTGATTTAGCAGTTCTGGGTAGGGTGCCATTCGCGGCCTTGGCTGTCAATCACTGGGTCCCGGCCGGTGATTACTTGCCGACACACGGTAATCACCAAGTATTACCGAAGGGGGGAGAAAACTGTATGTAAATAATACAGTTCTCTCCCCTGTCAGCTCCTGCACACTGCTTTGTATGGCTCTGCATAGCAGAGCCATACAAAGCAGTATGCTTACAGTGAAGCGCACACAGTTACAGTTAACCCTTTGATCGCCCCAGATGTTAACCCCTTTTTGCCCAGTGCCATTAGTACAGTGTTAGTGCTTTTTATTAGCCCTGATCACTGTATTGGTGTCACTAGGGATGTCAGTGACACCAAGTCAGTTCCATCCCCCAGTGTCGGCATGCCCACCGCAGTCCCGCTATAAGTCGCTGATCGCTGCCATTACTAGTAAAAAAATAAAAAAATTCCAGTATATATACCACCATTTGTAAATGCTATAACTTTCACGTAAACCAATTCATTTGAACATATTGAATTTTTTTTTTTAGAAAAGATGTAGCAGAATGCATTTTGGCCTAAATTTATGACAAAATTTGTTTGTTTTTTTTTTTTTTTTTTTTTACTGGACATGTTTAATAGCAAAAAGTCAAAACTATTGTTTTTTTTTTCTCAAAATTGTTAGTCTTTTTTTTTCTTTATAGTGCAAAAAATTGAAAACACACAGGAGATCAAATACCACCAAAAGAAAGCTTTATTTGTGGGGGAAAAAGGACATAAATTTCATTTGAGTGCAGCGTTGCATGACTGCGCAATTGTCAGTTAAAGTAACGCAGCACCGTATCGCAAAAAAATGGCCTTGTCAGGAAGGGGGGTAAATCCTCTGGACGGCAAGTGGTTAATCTGGAATGTATGTTCCTTTCTGAAAAACATTGTTTTTATCAAATTTTTATGGGTAAAGTTCCACTTTACGATCACAAAAGCCATACATTTCAAATGGATAAACCTGTGTACACCGCTCCCCCAGATGTCTTAGGTTACTGGCACTTCAGGGATTATAAGGGATGCTGGAGAACACGTTCACTTTTTTCTGGGAGGAGTAACCATTTCAGGTCCGCGTTGCCGGCATGCAAACATAACAGCTGCCTTGGTTTGATTGTTGTCTCAGCCGTTTCTGGAGAAATGTGGTCCCTGTAAGCTGACAAGATGTTTCTTCTTGTTCCCTGTTCTCCTTCACAGGATAGCGAACACTCCTCTGCAGCTGTATGGTCCTCAGGAGCACAGTGATCATTTTCTGATGGATGCTATTGAGAGACGGGAAGACACCTTCTATGTGGTCTCATTCCGGAGGGTCAGTACTGTGGCCTTCTCTCTAGTTTGGTATTTTTCTCCTCAGACATCTACTTATAATAATTTTTTTTTTTTCCCTAGGATCACCTTCTTTTGCCGGCTATAAGTCACAATAAGACATCCCGGCCGAAAATGTCTCTGGTGATGCCAGCCTTGCCTGTGAACGGTTGCCTGTGAATGGCCTGTGAGTGACTGAGTGTAACAAAAGGATTAATATACCAGCCGTGCTCATGTAGAGTCTTGCATACAGCGAGATCTCTCAGTTTTAAATTGCAACCGCGTGGGAGATTTGGGTGTTCCTACCCATCTTTGTGTGTGTGTGTGTGTGTATCAGCTCCTCCTGTTACATTCGTCATAATATTAAAACATGTTTTAAAACATTCCCCAGGAATGGTGGGAACCCCTTATAGTGGGCATTGTAGGTTTGCACACCCAAGAACGCTAAGATCTTGGAAATAGTCCCGAGGAGACTGTCAGGTGGGATAACTGTCAGAGCAGGAGCTGAGGAACGGACAGGCAGGCCTAAACAATGTAACGCACTGGCTGACGACAACCACCACCTACAGACCGAATTCCCTCAGGGCGCGGAGTCTACGTCCTAGGCTGCCCTTCACCAGGGCCCCTGATGGTGGGGATGGACTTGACGCAGCCAGGAACCAGGTCGCGGCCCCCGAGACACCTCAGTTGCGGTAATGGCCGCCGCCAATGGCGTGTAGCTGGTGGAAAAGACAATAGAGTAGTCAGGCAGGCCGGGTCGACAACAACGGGACAAAACGGTACAGGACAGCAGACAAGAATCACAGGTCACAAGCCGGGTTCAGCAACAGAGGGTCAGATCAAAGGAGAACACAAAGAATAGTCGAGTCACAAGCCGAGTCAGATTCCAGGAGAGTCATGAGAGTCAGAACAGAGTAATAGCAACACAAAGACACAAGTGCAAAGAGCATGTGCGGGCCACAGGCTTATATGTCATCAGCCACACCCCTCTGGGGGATGGACCTCAGAGACCTGAAGGCATAAAGGATTCCCACCATGCTCAGCAGAAATCCAAGATGGATGCCAGCACATGGAGTAACATAACCTCTGGGAAAAGGTAGGACTAACAATAACTCTCCAGCATCTACTAAATATTGAACTATCAATTTTGGCTGGGCTGATCCTTTAACCGCCTCCTGCCCGCCATATAAGGAAATGACGGGTGCAAGGTGGTTCTCTTGTTCTGGGAGGACGTCATATGATGTCCTCCCAGTCCAACTGCGCCTGCGCGCCCCTGGGGGCGCGCAGCGCAGCGATTGGTGGTGTGCTGTGTCCATGGGACACAGCAGATCATTGATCAGTGGAAAGAGCCGATGACTTCGGCTCTGTCATGTGATCAGCTGTGTCCAATCACAGCTGATCGCATGTAAATAAGGAAATGCCCGTTATCTGCATTTCTCTCCTTACAAGCTGTCACGCTGAGAGGAGAGCCGGTAATCAGTATTCCTCAGAGGGGACATCTACACTGATCATCAGGGCACTGATGACCAGTGCCCTGATGATCAGTGTAGCCCCATCAATGCCACTTGTCAGTGCACATCAATGCCACATGTCAGTGCCTACCAGTACACATCAATGCCACATATCTGTGCCCGTCTGAGCTGCCTCTCAGTGCTACCTATGAGTGCTGCCAATCAGTGCCACCTAACAGTGCCCGTCATTGCCACCTAACAGTGCCAATCAGTCCACCTATTAGTGCCGCCTATCAGTGCCATATGAGTACTGCTTTTCAGTGATGTCTGTGAATGCCCACCAGTGATGTCTGTCAATGCCCATCAGTGCCACCTACCAGTGCCTCCTCATTAGTGCCCATCAGTGCAGCCTATCAGTGCCCATAACTACAGCCTCATTAGCGCACATCAGTGAATGGAGAAAAATTACTCATTTACAAAATTTTATAACAGAAACTAAGAAAAAAAACTTTTTATTTTCAAAATTTTCAGTTTTTAGTTTATCAAAAAATAAAAAACCCAGAGGTGATTAAATACCACCAAAAGAAAGCTCTATCTGTCTCAAAAAAATGATAAAAATTTCATATGTGTACAGTGTTGCATGACCGCGCAATTGTCATTCAAAATGCGACAGCACTGAAAGCTGAAAATGTGACCTGGGCAGGAAGTGGGTGAAAGTTCACGGTAGACAAGTGGTTAAACTAAGACCTATACATGGGACCACATTTAGCAATGTCATTGGGTGAATCGGTCGTAAATTCCTTACCTCTTAAACTAGTACAAATGACTTGGTTGTATGTCCTCTGAGGATGTTTTTTTTTCGTTTTGGATAAAATGGGTGAGGGGTTAAAACCCTTGTCAAGCTTTTTTTTGCTGTCTGTGTCACCACTGTGTAGATTCTCCCTCTACTAGTCCTGGTGACTGTTATTATTGAGAGAGTGTGATGGAAAAGCCAACATTTTCCAATTCTTTACAGAACAAGAGGGGACTTGCTTTCCTGACTGCTGTTTAAGCAAATTCTAGCTTGGTAAATTCTTTTCTTGTGCTCCCATTTGCTGAATGCAGTGTTAGAGAAGCAAAACAAAGGTGAATGTACACTCACCGCCACTTTATTAGGTACACCTGCTCAATTGCTTGGTACCACAAATTGCTAATCAGGCAATCACATGGCAGCAACTCAATGCATTTAGGCATGGTGACTTGGTAAAGACAATTTGCTGAAGTTCAATCCAAGCATCAGAACGGGGAAGAAAGGGGATTTAAAGTGTCACTAAACTCACAACAGTAAAATCAGCCTGTATATACAGTAAAGCATGTTTGTTATACCTAAGGGGTTAATCATCTGCATTGTGTAAAAACGCTGTTTGATCCTGATTTCTCTGATCCTCCCCTTCTTCCAGTACCCCCCTCTTATCTTTTGATAAGACATATCTTGTGGAGTCACCCTGCACATGCTCAGTTTGGTGTGTATTGCTAGAGAGGGTTTTTTTTTTTTCCTTGCGGGAGTGTATGTGATCAGCACATGGCCAATCGGCACTGGCAAACAGAGGTCAGGGGTCCTGCATCCTCCTAGAGCAGAATTAAAACTCCTCCTACAAGCTTTAACGTGTGCTGCTCGGCTGGACACTGCTCTAACTGCTGAGGGGAAAAGGTATTTAGCAGTTTATATTTACTAAAATAATTGCACTTCCATGTTTTGTGTACTGTGGGAGACCAGATATAATGAATGCAGGGTCCTGGGTTTAGTAACACTTTAAGTGACTTTGAACATTGCATGGTTGTTGGTGCCAGACAGGCTGGTCTGAGTATTTAAAAAACTGATTTTCTGGGATTTTTACGCACAACCATCTCTAGGGTTTACAGAGAATGGTCTGAAAAAGAGAAAATATCCAGAGAGTGGCAGTTGTGTGGACAAAAATGCCTTGTTGATGTCAGAGGAGAATGGGCAGACTGGTTTCTGCAACATTCAGATGATAGGGTCAGAATTTGGCATAAACAACCTGAAAGTATGGATCCCTCCTGCCTTGTATTAACAGTTCAGGCTGGTGGTGTAATGGTGTGGGGGATATTTTTTGGCACTAGAAAAGTGTACATAATAAAGTGGCTGGTGAGTGTACAATGCCTGGAAAAAGTATTCATACCCCTTGAAATTTTCCACATTTTGTCCTGTTAAACATAAATGTATTTTATTGGGACCAAGACAAAGTGGCACATAATTGTGAAGTGGAAGGAAGATGATAAATGGTTTTCAAAATGTTTTACAAATAAATCTGTGAAAAGTGTGGTGTGCATTTGTATTCAGCCCCCGGAGTCAATACTTTTGTAGATCCATCTTTCGCTGCAATTACAACTGCAAGTCTTTTTGGGGATGTCTCTACCAGCTTTGCACATCTAGAGAGGGACATTTTTGCCCATTCTTCTTTGCAAAATAGCTCAAGCTCTGTTAGATTGGATGGAGAGCGTCTGTGAACAGCAATTTTCAAGTCTTGCCACAGATTCTCAATTGGATTTAGGTCTGGACTGTGACTGGGCCATTCTAACACATGAATATGCTTTGATCTAAACCATTTGTTTGTAGCTCTGGCTGTATGTTTAGGGTTGTTGTCCTGTTGGAAGGTGAACCTGCAGACTCTTAACAGGTTTTCTTCTAAGATTGCCCTGTATTTGGCTCCATCTATCTTCCCATCAACTCTGACCAGCTTCACTGTCCCTGCTGAAGAAAAGCATCCCCACAACATGATGCTGCCACCACCATGTTTCACGGTGGGGATGGTGTGTTCAGGGTGATGTGCAGTGTTAGCTTTCTGCCACACATAGCATTTTAATTTTAGGCCAAAAAGTTCAGTTTTGGTCTCATCTGACCAGAGCCCCCTTCTTCCACATGTTTGCTGTGTCGCCCACATGGCTTCTTCAAACTGCAAACAGGACTTCTTATGGCTTTCTTTCAACAATAGCTTTTTTCTTGCCACTCTTCCATAAAGGCCAGATTTGTGGAGTGCACGGCTAATAGTTGTCCTGTGGACAGATTTTCCCACCTGAACTGTGGATCTCTGCAGCTCCTCCAGAGTTCCCATGGGCCTCTTGGCTGCTTCTCTGATTAATGCTCTCCTTGTCCCAATCTGTCAGTTCAGGTGGACGGCCATGTCTTGGTAGGTTTGCAGTTGTGCCGTACTCTTTCCATTTTCGGAAATGATGGATTGAGCAGTGCTCCATGAGATGTTCAAAGCTTATATATAGTGTGTTTCTTAGCCTTCGTGATGCTGTTTGTTCACTAATGTTCTCTAGCAAACCTCTGAGGCCTTCACAGAACAGCTGTATATACTGTATACTGAGATTGTATTACACACAGGTGGACTCAATTTACTAATTAGGTGACTTCTGAAGGCAATTGGTTCCACTATATTTTAGTTAGGGGTATCAGAGTAAAGGGTACTAAATACAAACGCATGCCACACTTTTCATATTTTTTACAAATAAATATTGAAAACCATTTATCATTTTCCTTCCACTTCACAATTATGTGCCACTTTGTGTAGGCCTATCATATAAAATCCCAATAAAATACATTTATGTTTTTGGTTCCAACATCACAAAGTATGGAAAATTTGGGGTATGAATACTTTTTGAAGGCACTGTATATCTATGGAAGTCTGCATTAAAGTGAACCTGTTGGAATGTTATGCGTGCTCCATGCTCTCTCTCCCGCCACTTCCCCACTGCTGCTCCTACTTTGCAAAGAGCCACGTGGAGCTTTAATCTTCGTTAAATTCCTGCTCCTCACCTACAGTGATTGCGATCACCTCCGGCCATCCAACCCTCACCTTCTACTATCTGTCTGGGTTTCATCAATACCAAAGGCCTTGCCTCATTCACTGAGCCCACAACATGTCTGATTCTAGACACCGAGGAAGGGGTAAAGGGGGGTTGACAGTCCTTCTACTTTACCAAGTGACTCCCAGATCACACTCTTCTAAAGTCTCTGAGGTCTGCAGCCTGGAATCCTGTTTCCTTCTGCTCCCATCATCCCATCAAGTCTTCTTTATCTCTGTTGATTGTGGCTAATTCCTGTATATGACCGCTATTCTTTGTCTTGAGTTCTATAGTACCAGTAAGACCTCAAAGACTTTCTTGGCACACCCTCTGTTCCACGTCTTTACAGAAATTGGAAACATCATGAAAAGACAGTGTGATGCTTTAAGCCATCAGAGACATTCCTCTCTCTACTTATTCACAAAACGGTTTTCTTTGTAGCCATCACCTCTGTATTTGAACTGGTGGCCCTATCCTGCAAGAAACTCTTTCTGGTTTTGCATAGGGACAAATTAGTGTCGAGGTCTAGGACTTCGTTCTCACCCAAGGTCGTTTCTGCTTTTCACCTAAACCAGGACATTGTTCTTCCATCCCTCTGCTCAGCTCCAGTTCACACAAAGGAAATTTCCCTCCATTGTCTGGATGTTATAGGATGGGAGCCACACTGGATGTGTCAGAGATATGTATCTGTGAGTGAAGTGCGTCTATGTGGTGTGAGCTGATGTACCAATATGTTTTATGCGATGCCTATATAGCACTTGGAGTGCTTTTCTTAAAGTGTGATTCTTGAGCATTTTTAATAAAGAAACTGCTATACAGAGAGCACTATCATTCCCATTCTGTTTTGCTTGTAACCCATCTGTAAGTTCTGTGCCGCGAGAGGAGGGAAAGGATCCACCGATGGAACCACCGATGGAGCAGTGGATCAGACAGCCCAAAGAGGGGCACCTCTTTGAACTTTATTAGATGTTAGGGTCAACACTTTAAGAAGAGTGGTTTATTACAGCCTTTCTCAACCAGGGTGCCCAGGCACCCTGGTGTGCCTTGAGATTTCTTCAGGGGTGCCTCGGCAAAATGTCTAAAAATTGCCCAAAGCTTGTATACAAACCAGCGGGTGGAACAAGCCAGCCTTTTTAGTTACACAAAGCCACAGGTTTTCATTGTGTGCCATCACAACCTTCTATCCGCCAGCGTCCTGACAAGCAATGACATCATCAGTTGATAAGGAGGATGTCCGCTGTCTGCACAGCATCCTAGTTTGACCCTTCCTTGCCCATGTGTCAGTGATGGGGTCACATTAGCTCAGTGTTGGAGAAAAACTGAGGGAGAAGAGAAACATTGGAATACTAGTCAGTACCAGTGTGCAAAAGTGTATTTGCTTTGGAGGAATAAATCACCTCTAATGTTGGGTGTCCTACATGTGTGGATGTTGCGGTTCGAATAGTTTTTCACATTTTAGAATGGGGTGCCCCTTTAACATTATGGACAGTCTTGAGGCACCCCATTTTAGAATGGGGTGCCTTTGGACTGTCCATAATTTTAAAGGGTGCCTCGGGACTGTCAATAAGTTTAAAGGGTGCCTTGACTGAAAAAGGGTTGAGAAACACTGGTTTAATATTATCACAAGGTGGCTGCATGCACAACATGGACAGCATTTAAAGGAATTGGAAGATTTTAAGAATTTAAAACACATTGGTGGTGGATTCACTTTAGGTGTTGGACTATGTGGACTTTATTTTCATATTTTGATCATATGGTATTGGTTTATTATAATTGTGCTACATCAATATTTTTATGAATATAAACCAGGACATTGTTCTTCCATCCCTCTGTCTAGCTTCAGTTCACGCGAAGGAATGTCCCTCCCTGGATGTGGTTTGGGCTACGTGATGTGAGAGTCTATCTTTTAACTGTTGCTTCTTTTATGAAGACTCTTTGTCATCCCAGAAGGACTAAAATCATACTCCAGCAAGTGTTTCTAAGATTTTCAAGACTTTTACACAAATTATCTGTTAGCATGTTCTCCACATTCTACCAGGTGGATGTTTTGGGTATAAAGTCCTTCAAATGGTTTTTTTGAGCTGCAGGCAGTCTCCATTTCTCATTTGATTCTTTTCTTGGGCCTATTGGCATTCATCTGCTGTGCTGCCCATCCCTCTGACTGCTTTTGGATGTTCCAAAAGTAAAAGACTTCCTATGTCCCTTAATTGACGAGAAATAAAATAGGATTTTTAGACTCATCGTATAAACTGTTGAAGGTTGTCCTTCATCATGGAATAGCTTGTACAATTACTACTAACTCACCATAAAAATATTTTTTTTTGTGTTCATTGACAGACACAGTCCTCTAAATCTTAATTGTAGGGATTATAGCGCCACCTACAGGAGTAGGACACTAGGCAGAAAAAGAACACAGCACCACCTATGGGCAGTCTCTGCTATAGGCAGGTCACTTATTTCTACCTATTGTTAAAGGAGTAAGAACCTAGTTACCTGCTGGGACCTGTGGTTCCACTGCCTTTTTTTCTCTCTTTATTTTTCCTGTGGAGACCCTCACTCAACTGCTGGGCTAGATAATATAGATCAGTGTTTCTCAACCTTTTTTCAGTCAAGGCACCCTTTAAACTTATGGACAGTCCCGAGGCACTCTTTAAAATTATGGATAGTCCCGAGTCACCCCATTCTAAATTGGGGTGCCTCAAGACTGTCCATAATTTTAAAGGGGCACCCCATTCTAAAATGTGAAAAACTATTCGAACAGTAACATCCACACGTGTAGGACACCCAACATTAGAGGTGATTTATTCTTCCAAAGCAAATACACTTTTGCACACTGGTACTGACTAGTATTCCAGTGTTTTTCTTCTCCCTCAGTTTTTCTCCAACACTGAGCTAATGTGACCCCGGCACTAATGGAGAGGGGTAGGGGGAGGGTCAAACTAGGATGCTGTGCAGGCAACCAACATCCTCCTGATCAATTGATGATGTCATTGGTTGTCAGGACGCTGGCGACTAGAAGGTTGTGATGGCACACAATGAAACCTGTGGCTTTGTGTAACTAAAAGGCAGGGTTGTTCCACCCGCTGGCTTGTATACAAGTTTTGGGCAATTTTTAGACATTTTGCCAAGGCACCCCTGAAGAAACCTCAAGGCACCCTGGTTGAGAAAGGTTGATCTAGATCCAGTGGTCACCCCAGTCTGGCCAGTTAGCGCACACAGACCTTTTAGCTACACGCTGGGTTGGCTTGTGACAAGCCCCATTCAGGAACGGGGAGGTAATCCAGGTTTCACTGCTCTGTGTGTTTATGATGATGCCATCAGTACTGCTTTGTATGCTGAGGCATGCTGGTAGTGGTAGGGGTTATCCTGGATTGACCAACAGGTTTTTTTGTTCTCCTTCAAACGGGAGTATAACCCGAAGGTGAAAGCCTTTGTGTCCCTCAGTGGATGCCAAGAAAAGGCTTGAATGGTGAGTACAAAAATCCTGCTATTGAGATGATCAGGCTTCATACATGTAGGCATTGATCTAGGAGCTGCAGTGCATGCAAATCAAGTTACCTGAAGTGTATAGGCCGGTTCATTTGTACTGCTTATGATTTTCCACTGGGTTTGTGTGGAAAGTGAGTTGACTGCAGAGTTACATGGGTACTGGATACAGTTTGAAATTCAGTGCCCATGTGCAATTGGCCTCAAGGAAAGATCCAACTGGTTGGTATAGGAAACCAAGAAGTGATACCTTGCACTATTATCTAACTAAAATGTCTTTTTTCCTCTTCTGCTCATACAGACAGTGTGTACAACAACTCCCAAGGCTACGAGACCATGATGCAGATAGACTGTGAGGTTATGGACACCAGGGTCATCCAGATAAAGTCTTCTACAGTCCCCCCTTCTCTGCGCACACACCTCACAGTCCTCCTCCACAGCAGGGGGCTTCACGCGGGAACCTCTCGCTTTATTTACAGGACCAAACGGCAGCGGAAGATGGGCAGAACTGAGCGGAAGGGGGGCACAACACAAGCGCTTAACACTTTTATACAGGAACATGGAAGTGTAAATATAACTATATGTATATAAGAGGATCTAGCCATGTGTGAGAGTGATTGAGAGAGGTGCTTATCTCTAGGGTTTTCTTACATCTGCAAGACACTGTTGTAGCTTTGGGCTAGCTTTTCTAGAGGAAAAGTGCCAGGAGCAAAAATACATAATACAGCTTTTTTTTTTTTTTTTTTTCTTGCTAGGCTGTAGCTGTATTAGGAAGCTGCCTTTGTAAAATCAACTTGAGGGAACACTAGATAGAGGTGTGTGTGTAAATAAGAAAATATTATTTAGTGAGATGCTACAAAGAGCAGTGATGTATTGTTACTAGTAGCAACCAATCAATCCAGCATTCCATCAGAGCTTCCGATTGGTTGGTCTGGAAGACTGCACATTGTTCTTTGCAATCTTAAAAGCTATAGAAGCTTGCTTATCAAGGCAACCGCAGTGATCCATTGCAACCAATCAACTTTCAATATTCGCTGTTGGTACGTCTTGGGAAAACTGGTTGTTCTGAGTTTCTGCACTAACGTTTAACACTGCTCCCTCTGCTGCCTTATTGGGTGAGACTGTCTGTTTGCATGTATGTAGCAATGGGTGATGTCAAAAATTGGACAGTAGATCTCATAATATAATCTCCTATTAGATAAGACATCAGGCTCGGGAGCCCCAGTATTAAAGGATGTCTCAATCAAAAATGTAATTTATTTCAGCTTACCAGTCTGTTGATTCGGCAGCTGCATTCGTTTTCACTTTTTAGGCCAAGGACACTTTTGGCAAGTACAGAAAACACCCGTCGATCTAAGCAGAAATTCTGTTGTTCTTGTAGCTTCCTGTGTAATAACTGATAGATCAAACAATGTTATCCTCCTTCCAAGCTATTTATTGTTACATAGTTAGTCTGGCTGAAAAAAGACAAAAGTCCATCCAGTTCAACCATAGAAAAAAAAAAAAGTTATAGTCCTATACCTACAGTTGATCCAAAGGAAGGCAAACAAAAAACCCAGCAAAGCATGATCCAATTTGCTCCTTCTGGGAAAAAAATTCCTTCCTGATCCCCCCGAGAGGCAGTCGGATATTCCCCGGATCAACTTTACCTATAAATGTTATATCCAGTTATATTCTGTGTATCTAAGAAAGAATCCAGGACTTTTTTAAAGCAATCCACTGAGCTGGCCAGAACCAACTCTTGAGGAGTCTATCCCACATTTTCTGTAAAGAAACCTTTCTGTATTTGGAGATTAAATCTCTTTTCCTCCAGACGTAGAGTGCCCCCTTGTCCTCTGTGATGACCTCAGGGTGAATAACTCTACACCGAGTTCACTATATGAACCACTGATGTATTATACATGGCAATCATATCCCCCCTTATGTATTATACATGGAGATCGTATCCCCCCTTATGTATTCTACATGGTGATCATACCCCCCTTATGTATTATACATGGTGATCATATCCCCCCCTTATGTATTATACATGGTGATCATATCCCCCCCTTATGTATTCTACATGGTGATCATATCCCCCCCTTATGTATTCTACATGGTGATCATATCCCCCTTATGTATTATACATGGAGATCATATCCCCCCTTATGTATTATACATGGAGATCATATCCCCCCCTTATGTATTCTACATGGTGATCATATCCCCCCTTATGTATTATACATGGTGATCATATCCCCCCTTATGTATTATACATGGAGATCATATCCCCCCTTATGTATTATACATGGAGATCATATCCCCCCTTATGTATTATACATGGAGATCATATCCCCCCTTATGTATTATACATGGAGATCATAGCCCCCTTATGTATTCTACATGGTGATCATATCCCCCCTTATGTATTCTACATGGTGATCATATCCCCCCTTATGTATTATACATGGTGATCATATCCCCCCTTATGTATTATACATGGAGATCATATCCCCCCTTATGTATTATACATGGAGATCATATCCCCCCTTATGTATTATACATGGTGATCATATCCCCCCTTATGTATTATACATGGTGATCATATCCCCCCTTATGTATTATACATGGAGATCGTATCCCCACTTATGTATTATACATGGAGATCATATCCCCCCTTATGTATGATACATGGAGAGATCATATCCCCCCTTATGTATTATACATGGTGATCATATCCCCCCTTATGTATTATACATGGAGATCATACCCCCCCCTTATGTATTATACATGGAGATCATATCCCCCCTTATGTATTATACACATTGATCATATCCCCCCTTAATCTCCTCCTCTTCTCAAGAGAGAATAAATTCAGTGAACCACAATTCCCCTGCCCCCCCATGTAATGGTGATGAGCAGAGGAAGACATGTATTTATAGCCCTGTCCCAGGTTTGGGTACCATGGCCCCCTTAATAAATGCAGAGGAGTGAGGGAGCATAGTCAGCCTAGGACAGGAAGCGTTACTGGCAGGATCACTAGGTACAAATTACGGAAAAAGCCTGAAAAAAACGAATGCAGCCACCACATCTGAGGACTGATATGCTACAATATGTGTTATTCTTTTTTATGTTGGTCTTTAAAAGGGGCTCTCTAGCAGTAAACGGGAACTCCTACAGTGAAAGCATAATGTCTAGCAGCGGGCACTGTATGCTTAGTTGGGAGGTGGATCCAGCTAAGTGTCGGCATCTTCATTACATCAACTAAAATAAAAAAAACTTGTGTGAACAAAGTTCATCCTCTAGGAACAGAGTTCCAGAGAAAGACAACATTTTTTTTCTTCGTTTTTTGTGAAAGATGTGCACAATGCTGTCAGAATGCAAAACTCACCACTTTAAGCAGACCTTGCACAAAAGGCGAGCTCAGCTTATTACATCAGATTTCCCTCCCCTATGTATAATCACTACATAAAAGTAGAAAAAAAAGTACCCATGGAAAAATCTGTACATTACCCATAGCCTTTGTACTGGAGAGAGAAACATTTATAGTCCTTCTAGCAAGATCCTAGAAATCTCACATAAAGACATCCGCACTGTTCTGTTTACCATTGTACTGTAAGTACAGGCTGGGTCCATGATGATAGAGATGGGTTGGTTGACACTAGATGTCATTTAACCTGGAAGAATGGAGCTGAATGGAACTTTATTAACCACTTGCCCTCCAGAGGGTTTACTGACCTGACCAGGACATTTTTTTACGATACGGCGCTGCGTTACTTTAACTGACAATTGCACGATCATGCAACACTGCAGCAGCAGATGAAATTTATGTTCTTTTTTTCCCCCCATGAATTGGGCTTTCTTTTGGTGGTATTTAATCGCTTCTGCGGTTTTTATTTATTGCACTATAAACAAAAAAAGTCTGACAATTTAAAAAAAAACAAAACAATATTTTTGACTTTTTGCTATAAAACATATCTAGTAAAAAATTTAAAAATTATCTAATTTTGTCATAAATGTAGGCCAACATGTATTCTGCTACATATCTTCGCTACAAAAAAAATCCCAATACATTGTTGTTATATTATTATACAGGATTTATATAGCGCCAACAGTTTGCTCAGCGCTTTACAAAATGAAGGTAGACATTACAGTTACCATACAGTTTGGTAGAAGAGGAAACAGAGGGCCCTGCTCATTAGAGCTTACAATCTAAGAAGAAACATGTAAACTAATTGGTATATGTGAAAGTTATAGTATCTACAAATGGCGGTAGATATACTGGAATTTGTTTCTTTTTTTATACTAGTAATGGTGGCGATCAGCAGGACTGCGGCGGGCATTCTGACAGTAACTGCCACTGACATCCCCCAGTGACACCAATACACAGTGATCAGTGCTAAAAAAAAAACACTGACACTGTACTAATGACACTGGGCAGGAAGGGGTTATCATCTGGGGCGATCAAAGGGTTAACTGTGTGCTGTTTTACTATGTGTGCTGTGTGTGCTTTACTGTGTAAGCATGCTGCTTTGTATTGCTCTGCTATGCAGAGCAAAACAAAGCAGCATGCTGGAGCTGACAGGGGAGAGATCTGTATTGTTTGTTTACATACAGACCTCTCCTCTGTCAGTGTTCTTCAACGATCGCCGGTGCCGGTGGGGAATCCCAGCCGGGACCCAGTGATAGACAGCCATAGCCGCCAATGGCAGCACGGGTAGGGCGATGTGTGCACCCCCTACCCAGAAATGCAAAATCACGTATATATACGTGATTTTGTGCAGCCTAGGTGCCCTGTAGCAGTATTTGTGCTGTAGGGTAGCGGGGAAGCGGTTAAAAATAAATAAATAAAAAAAAAAATATATATATATATATATATATATATATATATATATATATATATATATATATATAAAACTTTTGGATTAAAAAAAAACTACACATTTTTTTTTTTTTTAAGGAAAAAAAATGCTACTCCTTTCATAGTAAAGGAAGAATAGCACTTTTGAATTTTGATACAAGGTCACTCTTTTTTTCACCTACGGTCAGCTGATTTTTGTAACCCCTTTTCTTCCTTCCATTTGTCATCTTCGTATACACATCCATAGTAATTAAGCGTCTATATATTTCCGTCCTTTAGGGCTCTTGGACACAAATACATTGGGACATGCAATGTTAAAATTCTCCCGTTTCTCCAAGCAAGGGAAGCCCAGGTGCTGCGTGCAGCCATCGCTGTGCGGTATATGCCCTTACGTGCGTATACCTGTACATAGCATCCGGACATATTCCTCAAATGCAGACTTTCTGTTTTTGCGGAATGTATCCATGTGCTGTAGGCGGGTTTTATGAGAGTACCGGTATACAGCTACGCACAGCCATTTATTATGGGTGGCTGTACGCAACACCTGGGCTTCCCTGGCTCATTAAAACACGAAAATGTTTTGTTGTACTCCCTTAGCCCCGGGTTCACACTGATGCGGTGCGGAATTTGCAGCGTTTTCAGTGCGAATTCCGCACTGCATCAAAATTGCAC